AATTTATACACTATGGTTATCGGGTTGGTGGAATCAGATCAGCAGAATGATTAGTGTGAGGCCTTTAGGAAATTTGAGGCAGTGGGGGTGGGGGGGCTGCTTTCCTCTCAAAGACGATTTTATACTGAAACGTCGAGACATAATTGAATCGAAACGCCGAGGTATTCTCAACCAACTACAGTTCTTTCCACAACGTGGTGTACCACACGCATTAATATGTATCATATATTTACTAATGAATGTCACTGCAAAAATTGACAAGGCCATTTTTACAGCATTTCGCTTTTAATATTTAAGCATCATCAGGAATAATAATAGGCCTATACGGTAAATACAAAGAGACAAATTCAACTGTACAAGCATGGGGGAATTAGTTTGTCTAAACAGTCCATGGTACAAGTTACCAAATCCTTATTAATAATGCATTCATTTAAATGAGGTAATTATCCAATCAGAGCAAAGCGGTATTATGACGAGAAAGTTTATTGAGAATAAACAATTCAGAGACTGGCACAAGTAGCTAAAGCACAAGTAGCTAGAGCAAGTCATCATGAGAACCAGGATTAATATATAAAATATATAAAATAAATAATTAAAAATCTAGAAACAAATTTAATTCTTTGGATGCTTTTAAGCCGCTATTTAACCCTGGCTTAAATATTATTTTAAAAAATAACTATGTCTAGATGATCTTTCACTTCCATTAAGTAAGATTAACCGAGTTGGACACGGTTTCTTAGCTAATTTTCTATAGCTTGTACAATTATTTGGCATATTCTATTGGTAAATAATATACTTAAATGTTACGCATAACATTCCCTACTAGTTGTGTTGAGGGGACAGTAATACCTATGTTCACTTGGATTCGAACCCAAACCTTTCAGTTACCGCCAGTGACGTAACGGCTATGGGCTCCTACTGGCTAAATCCAGGCACTCATGAGCCTCAAGGGGCCCCCAGTAAATTCGAATACTGTTTTTAACAACAAAACAAATAACCAAGGCCCCGGTTTTCCAAGCCAAAGTCTGCCTAGTGATTGAGGCATATTATCAGCACTATCGCCAGTCTACTTCAAAAAGTTGCGCGAGTACGGTAACCATTGTATGTTAGGCCCTCGGCCCATGGTTCCACATGGACAGTATTGTCGAATTTTTAATAAATAAATAAATAATAAAAAACAAATAAAAGATAAAGTATTATCACAAGATTTGTTTGTAATGACAATAATTTTTTCCGTAATGTAGGCCCTATTTCTATGCATAGGTATATCTAGGCCTATAATATTCAATTTGATATGTGGATTGCTTAATTTGTATTTGATAACTTACAATTAAACATTTTTGATGAAATTTGTTACCATCAATTAGTGAGAAGTTAAATCATACTTTTCTTTTATTATTTTACATAGGCCTACCGTATCCTTAAATGGGCTCTGATAATCAATTCAAGGATTTCTGTAGTTAAATTTCTGTAAATCAACGACTACTGTATCTTTGTCTCGTTGGATTTTTATTAATTTATCTTAAACTTTTGAATGAGTTAAGTATTCAGGGGCAGATTTAGGGGGGGGGGGCAGGCCGGCCCCGTCCCCCTTTTTGGAGAGTAAAAAAGAGAAACAAACAACAAACAAAAAAAAAAAGAAAGAAAGATTGAAAAAGAAAAAATTGATCGCCCAAAATCCTTCAGAGGTTACTTTTGGGCATCTAGTAAAATAAATTTCGCTGGGGCATGCTCCGGGTGGTGTTATCTCGTTCGGTCCCACCACTAAATTTTTAATGATTTCTTAAAGTCAGGCTCCGGAGGAAAAAACCTTTTTGATTTTTCTAAGACAGAAAAAAGTTGTTTGACGAAAAACTGGGGAACGGTGAACGAGATACAGATTTTTGAATATTTAAAATCTGGGGGAAAAAGGGGCGTAACTGCCCATTTTTACACCTTTTTCCCCCAGTTTTTAAATATTAAAAAATCTGTATCTCATTCATCGTTGCTCAGTTTTTCGTCAAACAACTTTTTTCTGTCTCAGAAAAATCAGTTCTACAACATATCAAACATTTTTTTTCCTCCGGAGATTTTTTCTTGTAGGCAGGACATCATCCTACAATTCTGTCGTAATGGTCGTACATGAGGTGGGAATGGTTGAGCGCCCTCTAGTAGCAAACACAACTTGATTGGTTAAGACCGAGGAAAGTAATTATCAATTTTAGCACTGCTGTCTGATGCTGCTGAGTGCGGGCACATGTGTGCGGAACTTTTGTTATGGTAATAATAATATTGAACGATAACTTCATTGAGAGTCAATCCAACGTATGAGTGGTTATGATTGTGAATTGTATGCTAGGCAAGATTCACCTATGTTTCTCTGCTGAATATTTCGTTTGCCAGTGAACCCAACCGTTGTTGGTCTCTAGGCTATTCCGTGTCTGAGCTGACTGGCTGAATATTGCTTGCTGGCCAGGGCTACCTGTTTTGTACCTGTGAAATCCATTTCCTCGTCAAACTCTGGCCTAGCTTAGGACTAAGGCATACTTGTGTCGTTTATATTTCGTCCGTCTTTTTATCTTTTCCTGATGATACTCTGTAGTAAGTTCATTCATTTGTTTTAGTAGGTATACACCGGAAGTACCACGTCGTAGTAGGGGACCTAGACCTATTTTTGCAATTGATTTTCTGAGCCTAAGTAGATAGTAGTAGTACCTGTCTGTAGTACAGTAGATTTCCCGTACAGTAGTGTGTGCCAAAAAACTAGGATAGGGGCTAGGCCTAGGCCCCAACTTTGGTACGTAATATCCCAACCCAGGCTTAGGGATTAACTGGCCGCACACAGTGGGTGCAGAATATAAGTGAGTTGAATATCAAAAGCAACTGTGTAATCAATAGGCCTAGTCTAGACATGTCTAGTCTATGCATTCCCCAATGAATGGTCCTATGTGTGGTATATTGTATTAAATTAATTAACTAGTATAACTATAGATTTATAAATGTATGTACTGTGGCCTAGCCCTAGGGCCTACATATGTTTTAAAACAAATGTTGTTGACATCATTTTCTCTACCAGATTTTCCTAATTGTTAAAGTTACTTTTAGTTTTAAAATATTTTAGGGCACATACATATAAATATTTGTTAGATTATCTTCAAAATGTGGTAAATATGGATGTGGGAATAAAAAATAAAAAAATAAATTTTGCCTCATCATTTATTTCAACAGCATAAAAAAACAATGCAATTTTGTGACTTGAAATACATTTTATTAAAAAAAAAAAACACTAATAAAATTAAACCAGTTTTTATACAATATTCTTGCCAAATAAAAACAGTCCTCCCTCTCTATATAAAAAAAAGAAATATTCTATTGTTTCAGTTTAAAAATAAAAACTGCCAGCCCTCATTACTTTTTTTAAAAATAGTGATAATCTAATAAATTTTTCTATGTGCACTTATATTATAAATAGGCTAATAAAATATTTTAAAAACTAAAAGTAAATTAAAAATTCAGGAAAATCTGTGAATGAAAATTATGTCGCTGGCATAACAAAACATACTTGGGTCTCCTTCTTTTTAAGACACCTCACTTGTTGAATAGGGATGATTTTCAATAACAACATTTGTTTTTTTTGATAGCAGAATGATTTAATATATTTTGTACATTAAACAAATGCATACATTTATTGCATTTTGTAGTATGTGTAATTAAATGTTGTATATATACAACAAGGTAGGATAAGAGTATTTTTGGTGTAAGTCACACAAAATGATAAAACCCATTAAGTTTGAAGACTTGTTTCCAGTGGGGTCCTTCTGGTGGTGAATTGGGCAGTGCACCCGGAGACAATCCCCTATTTTTTTTTTCCGAAGAGTACTGCACATTCTTTAACATGCAATTGGGCCATAATGTACACAGGACCAGCTGCTTAAACGTCTCATCTGAAAGGCGGTGGGCTATCTTAACTTGTATTCCGGCACTCCAGCTGGTCCAATGTAATTCTGTCCGATATTCTTGAACGTTGGGTTCGTGGTGGCAGTGGCTCTAGAAATTTGCTGATGGGTGTTCAACCCAAGAAGCTGCCTATGGTCTTGGTTTGAGGGGCTTTCATGGGAACAATGGCGGCGCCAGCAGTGGAGAAGTGGGGCTTAAGCCTCCCGATCGGTTTGGTCAAGCCCCTCCCCCCATCGGCCAAAGCTTGTCGGGCAGTCGGAACAAAAGAAAGAAAAAATAGGCCTAGTTTTCTCATCCCAGCCATTTCCGGCCATCTAGAAGTCCCAAATTTTAAAAGAAATCACCCCCTCCCATACCCACCCCTGCTTCGGCCCTCAGATAACGCTGCACACTATAGTTACATCCATAAATACTTAGGTTCCCCCCCCCCCCAAGTCGGACATCTTAATAGCTAGGGTGCATCTAAACATTTTGATTTGTTAGCCCACTCTGCATATTGGCTTTGAAAAATATCCCAAGTTTTTCTAAATTCTTTGTTTGGAATGCCAGTCATCCAAGATGTTTTATGCCAGGTGAATTCAAAAACACAGGGACTTACAAGATGGTGCCTACACAAACAAATAGCAAAACTGATGAGGTTTGCAGGAATGTTGGATTTATGTAATTATATACTATTTCTTTTATAAATTCCGTGGTTTCTCAATCTTCAAGCCAGCCTCGAGAGGATGAAAAAACTTTTAGGTGTGCTGTACCTGTCTCTTATACACATCTAGATGTGTATAAGAGACAGAGTATACAGTGATAGCATTGTTCTTACTTGTCATTGGTCCATTCCTGCTTAAAATTGGGGTCATAAACGAGAAGAAGTCTCAAGCCAATGTATACAACGTTCGCCAGGCTGCAGTTGCTGATACCGAGGAAGTTGTTGAGGTAATAATATAAACCTTTAGAGAGGTTTTAACCTTAAAAGGGATGAACACCCATATATCACATAGTTCCATGTTCTATTTTTGACAGATTGCCAGGAAAGGGAAAAAAAAATTAGTGTGCTATTTACTTTACTCATTAAGGAGATTTCGATTGTACGACGCAGTAGAATTTAGAACGTAATGACGTCTGTAATATTTTATCTGCGCATGCGAGAATGTTAAATTCTCCTTAACCTGTGCTTTCAATTTGACTAAATCTGCGATCTGTGTTGTGCAGACCACATAGAATGGTCACACACAAGTGAATCCATTGTGCTGTAGAGTTGTCGCGCAAGTCAAGAGATCCCTATTCACTCACAGACTATTTTAGCCAGCCCACCATATTGTCTTTCTGCTTGCCATGATTCAATCATGGGAAGCAATGATACTATGTTAATTCAGTCTCTTTGAGGAAATTGTAGCATAATTGATGATCTTAGATAATTTATTGCTTAACAAAATTGTGATTAAATTATGTGGAGGTACTGGAGTGTATAGACTAGGCTCATACCTACAGCAGCTGAAAGGTAGATGACTAACGTTTTTACTGGTAGACCACTAGGCAACAAGGGGCCTTACATGTAGTGTGGCTTGCCTACATTTTTTAAAAATAGGCTCTCAGCGGTAGCATGTGTCTACTGACTTACAGGAGTTTTTGTTTTTTAAATTTTACCTTATGTTCTTCAATATGCAGATGTGTGTATTATTGTAGTGTATCTGTATTTTTCATGAAAATTTTCTTTCATAATATTCTGTATAGGCCTATTACTATATTACACTAAAAACACTTTTAAAATGAGTAACTCTTAGAGTTACCACGTTATGTCGTTGATCACGAAGAGTACTACCATGTTCTAGAGGGCGTCCTTCAAATGACGGTAAAAGGTATTCGTGGTGAAGGCATGCTGAGTCTATAAACGCGTGTTCGAGTTTCGAACGCAATTTTGAGTTCCGAACGCTATTCGATTGTCAGTAGAGCGCCCCCACCTCATGGTAGTAGTACCCATCATGCCTGAACCGGATTTACCCTTTTCCGCCATCTTAATTGCTACATCATGACATAATATATATGCCCCCGTTGGGGGCAGTAGACACAAAAACAGATTGTACACTGGGTTAATCTGATTCATGCACCAAGCTAATTAAAATAACCCATGTACTCCAGGGACTTTTTGTTAATCCGAGCAAATTGATGTAAATTTCTTGAAACTAAAAAAAACTGATGTTCACCAATCCATGGCAACTGAACACCACTGGGTTTAATAGATTAAAATTATTTGTTTCCTGTTCCTTACTGTTTATGGTTGTGAATTATTGAAGGTCAACCAAAGAGTACAGTTAGGTATGAACAAGTTAATACTGAGAGTGGCCATTTTTTTCTGTCAGTATTTAAATGCAGTGAAGTACTGTATCTATCCAGGGTTGTTTATGGGACGCCTTTCCACCAAAAAATCCCACACCCCCTTGTGCCATCCCCCTTCTAGAAATTTGCTTAGCAGAAAAATGACCCATTCTGTAAGTAGTTAAAAACCAACTCATTTTACCATTTTACCAGGTACATCCCCTTCACTTAATAATTAAAGATCCCCACACTTAAAGCCCCATACCCGACAAAATTTCAGTTAAGAAAAATCTTATTTTTATATATGTTATAAAGATTTATATTGGAATTGCTAATTTAACTGAATTTAGACATTCCTAAATATAAAAAAAATGTAAAATAAGACTGAAGTTTGATTTGTTGTGTTCCACACAAAAAAAAAACATGGATGAATTTTTTATGTTTGATTTTGAGATAGGTTTGTGAAGAAATATAGTACAACAAACATAGGCCTACTTGTCGACAGCAGTGTGCGAGATGTGAAGTTCAAAAACTAATCTCATTGGAGAGGGCGCACTTTATTGACTGTTTTTAATTATACACAAAAGTGAGAGCATTCTAGTGGATGCGATTTCTGAATTTGCCTAGTAACGAAGTAATCGTTGAGAAAACGGGAATGTCCTATGAGAAATAGCCTCTATTTCTCATTTTTTCCCTTTATTTTATTATGGTCTAAATTAATTAGAGTAATGCATATGCATTTTTTCTATAAAATTTCTTTTTTAGTGAAATTTTGCCAGGAATTGGGCTATAACCTTCACGCACTGACCATCCCAACCACCCACGTCATTATTCCATTTCAAATACAAAGAGGGAAGAAAAAAGAATTAATTTTTGAGTGTTCTCTATTACAATTGACTGACTGGAAGGAACCCAGCCCAAAGGAAGCACATACAGTACGCACCGAAAGGCAGCACGCATTCGAGTACAACAATGATACTATGCCAAATAAAACTTACATGAGACAGTTGGCAAACAAGGTTAAAGTTGACAACAATGCAAATTAGGATAGATTTGCCAAATTATTCACTAAATAATATTGTACACAATGCTTGTGAAATGTTCATCATTGACATTTTCTTAAATCTCAAAATAATATTCGTTTTGCGTGATCAGTTAATTTAGGTATTATTAGGTACTATTTCTACTACAGCAATTTAATTGCAGTTTGTTCTAATTAGATTAATTTGTGCTTATACAGTAAACCAATCTTTTGATTTATAACTTGATTGCCAGGTAATTTACAGACTTCCTGCCCAATACTGACTTTTCTGTGAATCACATCTTTATTTTTCACAAATTCTAAGACCATTTAATCGGGATTATTTTGAAACAGCGCTGCCAACGTCTCACAACTCACTGTGAGTAGTTTCAGCGGCCTAGCCTGAGCAGCTGGCTAGTAGCTAAATAGAGCACCGCAAAGTGGATTGCGACGCCAGACCTTTGGTATAGCAGCATGCTTGCTAGTAACAGTAGACAACACATACGATCATGCTAATTACTGCATATAAACAATCCGTTCTTTTTTCGTTTTCAAATATTCGTGTTCGTTCGTAATTTAGTTTTTTCGTTTAATTATTCCATGATGGTAACTATGTAGAGTGAAGTGCTAGGCCTCTGGACGTCCCCCAGTGATGGTTTGCCAGGAATGCGAGTGACATTCAAGGAATTACCTGTATAGTCCAAATCTAGTAGCTAGGCATCTAAACATTTTGATTTGTTAGCCCACTCTGCATATTGGCTTTGAAAAATATCCCAAGTTTTTCTAAATTCTTTGTTTGGAATGCCAGTCATCCAAGATGTTTTATGCCAGGTGAATTCAAAAACACAGGGACTTACAAGATGGTGCCTACACAAACAAATACCAAAACTGATGAGGTTTGCAGGAATGTTGGATTTATGTAATTATATACTATTTCTTTTATAAATTCCGTGGTTTCTCAATCTTCAAGCCAGCCTCGAGAGGATGAAAAAACTTTTAGGTGTGCTGTACTGTACAATTGAATTTTCTAAGACACTGAGACTGGGGGGGGGGGGAGGGATAATGATGGTTACTTCTTTCCCCTTCTCCGTTTTTAAATGTTTAAAGATCTGTGTTTTATTAAAACGTTTCCATTTTCATCAAACACCCCGAGCCTGGCTTTAGAATCATGTGATCTCATGGCAAAAACCACGGCTAATCTGTTGACAGCTTCGCGCAATTAATAGTTTCATTTTAATATTGAATTTAATAGACAATAACTATATGAGATTTATAATACAAGATAGTTGTTACCTACTGTATAATACAAATGTATTAATTACAGTATTGTTGTGTCTACTGCCCCCAACGGGGACGTAGACACTATGTCATGATGTAGCAATTAAAGATGGCGGAAAATGGTAAATCTGGTGTAGGCATGATGGGTACTACTACCACGAGGTAGGGGGCGCTCTATTGACAATCGAATAGCATTCGGAACTCGAACAAAATTGCGTTCGAAACTCGAACACGTGTTATAGAAACGCAGCACGCATTCGCCAAGAATGCCTTTTACCATCATTTGAAGGGCGCCCTCTAGAACATGGTAGTACTCTTCGTAATCAATGTCATAATGCAGTAACTCCCAAAGTTATTCATTTTTAAAGTGTTTTTAGTGTAATATAGTAGTAGGCCAATACAGAATATTGTTGTGAAAGAAAATTTTCATGAAAAATCCAGATACACTACAATAATACACACATGCATATTGAAGAACATAAGATAAAATTAAAAAAATAAAAACTCCTGTATAAGGCAGTAGACACATGCTCCCGCTGACAGCCTATTTTTTTTTTTTTTTTAGCATGGTAGCATAGCATGGAGGTATGGTAGAATGTAATTCCTGCCTTCTGTATCTAATCTTCCTTCAGGTTACATTGCTGATTATTTATTGAGTGTCAAATTTTCCTTCAGTATACCAGGCTGAATCAACTTACATTTGTAGATACTTTCATATTCATACTAACCAGTATGTGAGAGTTGGTAGTGCTGACCTAGCAAAATGCCATATGCTACGGTTAGACTCGAGAGTTGAGCTAGGCTTGGGAAATTTGTGGTGTATACACCTGCTAAACCTAAGGTCACTTGAACCTGACATGAAATTGCGCTCAACCCAATCAAGATTCACCCTGATTTTATCTATGCTTTTTCACTTTAAACCTCTGGTGAAAGATAATTGTTCCAGCTAAGGAAAAAAATGTTTGGTTTTTATTTAAAAAAAAAAAAAACTACAAGATTTTTTAACATTGTGGAGTGGCACGTACTTGTACGCTAAATAATTAATCCTGAAAATGCATGGTTTAGGTACATTTTGGGCCCAGTACAGAACTACTGTATTTATGAGCTAAAAATAATATTATAATTAACATACAGCGAAGTGTAAACAGATACTCTAGGTTGTTTATATTATCCAGCAACTTACTTTAATGTTGTTGAATCTTATGACATAATGCACTAGTACCGAAATAATTTTTATCATTAGGCGAGACATTTTTTGTACCTCGTTTAATGAACCCATTGCCTGCCAATAATGATAATTTTGAATAAAACAATTTTTTTTTCTAATTGGTGCAGTTTTTCTTTATTTTTACTATTGCCACCTCTGCCTTGAAATCTCCAAAAATAAGATATTCCTTTCAAATTATATAAATTTACAACACTGTTTAAATTCACCAATAAAATTTTATTTTTATTTTCTCCTCCATCTCGATGTTTTTGTCAAAAATATTTGCTAAATAAGCAAGGAATATTTAATTTTTGCTCTTTTCCCGCCCTTGTCTGACGATCTTTAAAAAAATGAATTTGCGAAACAAAGTACAAAAGACTCTCGTCTTACTATTGCAAGAAGTAAGTGTACTATATGTTATTATTATTCTCAGGAGCGGCTGCCATTGGTCGACAACAAAGATGAAAGAAGATGGGGTATGGGGAGCAACCATAAAATTGACTGGCATAACTATTCACAGATAGAAGCAGATAAGCAGAGACAAGGTGAATTACTATGAATTCCTAGGAATAAGTCATGACCTGGACTTCCAGTCTCAGGGTCATGACTTTATACTGTATACTATGTTGAATTATTATCATTTATAATCCTTTAAGCAGCATCACTATAATGATTATTAAATGCGCAAAAATAAATTTTTTTAATTGGTTAATATAATTGAGAATGTGGTCTTTGGGAACTTTTGGATTTAACGTAGCTGTAGGCAAAGCTGAATGAACTTTCACCTTTTCGCAGATAGTGATTTAGTTTCTGCTGTGAGCCAAACAGTATTTTATGTCTATTAATAATCCAAAACTCACGATACTGTTATTCAACACATGAACTTTCGTATGAAGACCTTAATTGCACTTTGCCAGTTTGGATTAAAACGATTTTTAGTTAGCTTTAGATTGCACGGCGTGGTAGGACGTAGAATGTAATGACGTTTTCCTCGGCATGGATTCTAGGACGTAATTTGACTACATCTACGTTTTGCAGAGAACGTAGGACAGTCACGCATGAGTGAACCCGTTTAGCATTGTCCGAACGGATTCACTCTTCCAAAGCTCTAGCGTCGTGTCGTGCAAATCGAAAGCTGCCTATAGTTATACTTTAGCAAGGGTAATTTATTTTTAATGATGCTATTACTTATGTTTTAGCAGGAAGGGGATTTTAGGGTGCGATTTCAGTGCCTGGCAGTAGTAATAACTATCGATAAAGATGATGTAAATTGCTTGTTAATAGGGTTCTGTTTCTTAGAATCGATATGTACTTGTAAGTAAGTTATTTCTGGCAATTTTTTATAGCCAATGTTCATTGCCTTTACTGAGGTATTCAGTTTTTATAATTGTCTTTAATTATCAGTTAATCAAACATAAAATTGTAACAGCGTAGCAATCAAAGATTTAACTAGCTTTTTCAGCTAATTTCAGTGAGAGGGCTTCTCCCCTTTCACCGAGATATGACACTACTACTGTATGCCTGCCAAGAGTATAGGAATGGTGCTCTATGTATTTGCAAGAAAGAATGATGTGCTATATTCTGCAGACTTGGCATTTAGGAGAAAAAAATGCAGTTAATGATTTTTCTAGACTCGCTTCAAATATTGTAAATTATTAGAATATCATAAGAATCGATAGCGATATTATCTCTCTATGAGAACTAGTGACGCGTCATTAGTTCCGCTTATATTGCCTCTGATGTGCGAACTTATCCATTGGGAATGGTCAGACTCCGTTGGGATTTGCTGTTCTCGACACCTCAGCGCGAAAGCAGTATCCTTGGAATTCTACTGATATTGAAAATGGATTGAAAGTGGTTCAGACTTGCTAACACTCTCACGTTTTTTGATGATAGATGCATTAAAGTTGCTGAATGCAATACTGAAAAAATAGGCTCCCAGTGGGAGCGTGTGTCTACTGCCATATACAGGAGTTTTTGTTTTTTAAATTTTATCTTATGTTCTTCAATATGCATGTGTGTATTATTGTAGTGTATCTGGATTTTTCATGAAAACTTTCTTTCATAACAATATTCTGTATAGGCCTACTACTATATTACACTAAAAACACTTTAAAAATAAGTAACTCTTGGAGTTACCACGTTATGTCGTTGATCACGAAGAGTACAGTACTACCATGTTCTAGATGGCGTCCTTCAAATGACGGTAAAAGGCGTTCGTGGCGAACGTGTGCTGCGTCTCTATAACATGTGTTCGAGTTTCGAATGCAATTTTGTTCGAGTTCCGAACGCTATTCGATTGTCAATAGAGCGCTCCTAACTCTTGGTAGTAGTACCCATCATGCCTAAACCGGATTTACCCTTTTCCGCCATCTTTAATTACTACATTAAGACATAATGTCTATGCCCCCTTTGGGGTCAGTAGACACAAAAACTGTATGCATGAAATGGGGATCAACGTCATTTCATGATTGTAGTTTATACTTTATAAATTCAGTTGTGAATGGTTAAATTCATTTGGACAATGGTTTAAGGCTGCATACACCACTGTCTTTTAGGTGCTGTAGTTATAGTGTCATTTTATTTAATTTCTTGATTTAAAAATCTTTGCTAGATAATGATTGATTATTTTATGTTTGTAAAAGTGTAAAATATAAAAATGAAACTTGAGAAAAAAAAAATTAAAGTTTTTATTTATTTTCATTATGCCCACTGTTGCCTTTAAATCTCCAAAAATAAGATATGTATTGTTTATTTCTACCAAATTTTATAAATTTAAAGCATTTAACCATCCCATAATACTACACTGTTTACATTCAATAATAAAATTTTGTTTCTATATTCTCCTCCATCTAGATGCTCTTAACAAATCTATATATTGCTAAATATGGAAACAACATATTGTTTTTATTTTTTTCTGCCTTCTTCTGACGATTTCTAAAAGAATAAGTTTGCGAAACAAGGTATAACAAATGTCTTGCCTTATGATACAGTATTTAAAAAACACACATACTGTACAGTATGTTACAATAGGTTGTCTTTTTGCAGCCTTATTCAGTGCAGAGTGCACAACCTAAGGTGTTTATTTAGAGAGAAACAATGATAGATAAAATGCTTCTTCCTGAGGACACAAACAAACCCCAGCCTCAGACTCAAACCCCAACCTCTTGATTGGAAACCAATAGCTATACCGCTGCGCCACCTGCCTCTGGGTTCAACTGCTGTTAAGAGTGCTAAATGTAAATTTGATAGTTGTTAATTTGTGGATTAACTATCTCTTTAACACTAACAGTGAAATCAATAAAATGTATTAAGAGAGGCATGCTTTAGTGTTAATGTTGGCAGTATCAGTTTAATTGAGTTCATTACCTGTTATTAAGCATATATTGACAAACGATACATTACTTGGTATGACAGCAATAACAGTAAATTGCGACTACTCATTAAGAAAACATTACATATTGACGTGTTTAACACTTTGGCTGCCGGAGCTTTTCCCCTAGAGGCGTTGTGTATTTTGTCAAGACATGCAGAGGGCATTTACGATAATGAAAATCATAACTATTAAACATGGTATTTATTTTTAGGTGCTTCCGGCTTCCTAGAACTGCAAGGTAATCGTTTGTGTTCTGGCCTCTACTTAAACAAAAGTGCTACAGTACATTTGAACTTGAGCTTGTATTTTGTTGCCTTATGCAGCTCCCTATAGGATGTGAACTCACATTGCTGACCCACTGCCTGCCCTGCCTTTGCCCATAGCTGTTGTTTGTCTGCTAAGAAAATAGAGGGCATTACCATAATGAACGTTTTTACCATTAAACATGGTATTTATTTTTAGGTTATTGCTTCTGATTTCTTCCCAGATTGCAAGGTGATGATAGTTCGTGTTCTGACCCCTGCTTACACAAAAGTGCAATGGTAAATTTGAACTTGAACTGCCGTTGTGTTGCTTTGAGTAGCTCTCTGTAGGACTTTAACTGGTGTCTGTGACAGCCATCGTGTTATAGAATAGAATAGAAATCCTCTTTTATTCTGGATACTCAGTTAGTATTGTTACACTGTTCTTCCCTGAGGTCCAGGGTATTATCTTAAACTACATTATATTACAAAATAAAATTAAAAGAAAAATGCATAAAGAGTGAAATTAAAATACAATTGATAAAAATGTTTAAAAGATCATGCAGATATTTCAGTTTATTTTCTGTTTATTTATTTTCTCCACACTTACAAATATACAGTAAAGGGGAAAACATAGAAACAAGAAATACAAAAGTGCGGAAGGCTGTCTCTTATACACATCTGATGTGTATAAGAGACAGTATATATATTATATATGTGATATTTAAAGTTCTTTTTCCAAAATCATTTCGCCGGTGTTAACTATGTATAGCGCATAGAGGTTAGTCTACAATATGCGCTATATAAATTGATAATTATTGTTATTATTATATTAGGTTGGCCCTACCTTACCGCTTGGCCACTCAACTCATTTCATTTTAGAAAATGAATGTGTCTGGCTGTCCACTGTTTGTGTGGACAAACATATCTTTTTATATGGAAAATAAATATCGTTGTCGTAACAGTTGTCATTCTTCATCATGATACTTGCCATCTTCAGATTGAGATTTATGTATTCACTTCAACTGGCAGTAAAAAAATATAATAAAATTGCTTGATTGATTAAATTGTTTTCTTAAAAAAAGTCAGGCTCTGGAGGAAAAAAATGTTTTGATATATTGTAGAACTGATTTTTCTAAGACAGAAAAATGTAAGTTTGATCAAAAACTGAGCAACGGTGAATGAAAGAAATACAGATTTTTGAATATTTAAAAACTGGGGGAAAAAATTTTAAAGTGGGCAGTTACGCCACTTTTTCCTCCAGTTTTTAAATATTCAAAAATCTGTATCTCGTTCCCCATTTCCCAGTTTTTAGTCAAACAACTTTTTACTGACTTAAAAAAATCAGTTCTACAACAATTTGAAACATTGGAAACGTATCCAACACATTAGAAAACTGAAAAGATAACATTGAACAAAAAAGAAAAAAGGAAATTCAAAGCAATTAATTTTGGATACTGGTGTTACAATTTAATTACTATTATTATTATTATTGCAATAAATATTTTTAATATAAATAGAAAAGTAAAATCTTACTTCTACTCTGCTCTATACACGTACATGTACAAGATTTTCGCAAAATATTTTGATAGATTATTGGTATAAAAGTTGATTAAAGTATTAATGATTTTATTTATTTACATATTTTACATGGATTGCTAGCTATATTTATTGCTACTTCTTAATTTGGATTTAGGGCCGGGAGAACATGGGATGCCAGTTAAATATACATCAGAAATGAAGAAGACAGAACGACAAGATTTCTCTGCGAATGGATTCAATGTTCGTGTCAGCGACATGGTTTCATTGGACCGTTCCATTCCAGATATCAGAAACCCAAGGTATGTCGACAGTTAGGTTTCCTAAAAACCATATCTTTGGGAATACTTTTTTGGGTATTGGTAGTTTTAGATGCCAGTGCTATTTAATAACTATAGATCTCTCTCTAATTAATGACCACCTCCAATTAAGGACCACTTTTCAGTGGTCCTAATTTAACAGATGTCTTTTATCCTTATTATTCTAATTAGAGACCAAAACTGCTAAAGACATGTAAACCCCCGGTCGCAAAAGTGGTCTTTAATTGGAGGGAGACCTGGACCATATAGTTTCTCAGGGATAAGTCGACCTCGGGTATAAGCCACCCCCTATTTTACACCCAATTTTACATGCCAGAATTTCGTTGGGCAAAAGCGCAGGATATGGTTTACATTAGTGGCTTGGCTGACTTTACTAACAAACACTCTAAAAAATATTAAATACTGGTTTTGAATTAGGGACGCAGTGCTGAAATATTGCCTTTTGATTAAAAAAGGGATTTCCCAAGTATAAGCCCATCTCCATCTCCCAAGTATAAGCCCATACCAGAGGAACTGCAATACGACAAAATGGTTTATACATACAGTAGTCCCCTCCCCATAAGTAGAATACCATGATTGTTTCCTATGCATTCAATTTGGAATACCCTGGATTTGATCCCCTATAAATTGTGTGCTATGGTAAGGAGCAAATAAAATTTCACTTTAAAAAAAATAAAAAACAGTCATACTTGATTGCTACATATTATGTCTACATCTATATTGATGTTTTATTTGTAATTAGATGACATATTGTTTAATAACTATACACCATAATTGATACAGTCATTAATCAACATTTCAACTAAGATTATTATTAACACGGTTATTGTGCTCATAAATTGAGGATGTTAGCTTGTCATCAGTGCGTAGTTGAAGCAGCTTAGCTCTCGATGATATAACCACTCATTGCATTTACATCACATAAATTGTATGACATCCTAGAGCTACTATACTATGACTAATGCTCCAGATGACTTGGACTTGCTATTCCCTTGTGGTCCCTGCCAGGAACTTCGTACAGTATAAGACATGCTGAAGGATCTTATCTTGTTATTTTTTTTCTTCTATATCTGCGGTTCTCAAACTACGGGTCACGACTCAAAATTGGGTCGCAAAATAAATTAGAGGGTCGCAAGACTCGTTAAGGATTAGAAAAAAATCTTATTAAAAATTTATGCTAAAATTTTCGGCAGTAAAGAGAGCTCATTCCAAGTATTATTTAAGCATTTTACTACAATTTTGTTTATCATTATGACTGATTTTGAGTATCTGTTTTTATTTAACGTCCAGGGAAGTGAGTCGTGCAATAGCTTGGAAGTTAAAGTTTGTCAATAAAATAGTTATAGAGCTTTTCCTTGCAGTGACAAACTGCTAACCACCACCGTAAATACCCAAATAAGCGCTGTGACGCTTATAAAATATTTTGAGGTTTCAGTGTGGCGTTTATTCGGGAGCTGCTCTTATTAAAACATATCGGCGTGGCGCTTTCCTTGCTTGTTACCTAGCTCACATATCTACATATAGTTCAGTAGGCTTATCATGGTCGTATTTCATCGTAAACAAAATTTTATAAAGAAACGCTTGCGTCTTCATTGTGTTATTTATGCATTTTAACAATACATTGTATTTAAAACCCTGTTTCTCAATATGTCTCATTATACACACAGGGTTGTACTCTAGTAAGCGCTGCAGTGCTTATTCAACAGCGGCGTTTAGCGAAAGAAATCATATTTGGTGCAGCACTTCATATTCGAGAGCGGTGTTTATTCGATAGCGACGTTTAATCAAGCATTTACGGTATTATTCATGTAGAGGCTCTTCGTATTATAAACAAAACTTAACCAACCAAAACCAAACTAAATCTTCATCAGATATTATAAATTTTTGAAAACTTTTTTTCAAAATGATGAGATAAGATAAGATAACATTTAATGGTCCAATAAAAAAACTTGAAATTTGTTTTCATCAGGCAATACAAATACACAAAAGCAAGTGAAATTAAAATACAATTGATAAAAATGTTTAAAAGATCATGCAGATATTTCAGTTTATTTTCTGTTTATTTATTTTCTCCACACTTACAAATATACAGTAAAGGGGAAAACATAGAAACAAGAAATACAAAAGTGCGGAAGGAGGCCTATATATTTGAGAAATTTTAAGCCTAGGTCTCCTGGTTACAAACAAAAATTTTTTGAAATCAATCACTTAAAAAGGTAATTAGATAGGTATATTATTACAAGTAACATTATTGATAACATTATTATGTCAAATATTTGTTTTGTTTATTAATTGGAAGTAAATATTTTGGGCATACCTCATGGTTCAGCACCTAATTATTGATTTTCTTTAATTGTGAAAATTTTGTCTCAATTACTCCAATATTTCGAAAATTTAAATATATCTTCAGATTTAAAATATTTAAAAGCCTATTTAGATTAAAAATACTTACATTTACAGTTTGTATTGTTACATTAATTAAAAAATGAAGAAGAAAATACTAGAGAAATACCGAAGTCGATATTCAGCGTGATCCACTTCAAATTAGACATGTTGTAACAGATGCAAACATTGCTTGATTATCTATTGAGTTTGATATAGTACTCGGCATACTGTACTGAACATGGCCGTTATCTATGCATCATTCTATTGATGTCGTTATTTGCATGTGTCCTCCTTGAGCGGCATAAGCTTAATTAGTATCATACAACTTATGATATTCCCCTTAAGGCAACATTTTAATGATATGTTGCAAAACCAGTTGTTTTGTTCAGTATACTGTGCTTGCTGTTCTATGCTGTGGTAGTGGAATTTTTGTGTAAAATGGAATGTGTTTTAGGTTCATTTCAGTTCATTTCATTTGACAGGCATGCTAAGTATAGGGTGAATGTAGTTTTATTAGAGAGTTGGTAATAGGTCCTAAGTTGTGACAGGGGACCAATGGCTTACATGATAGCACCTTGTCCGATAATTGACTACTGTATGTTTATAGTAATTTTGACCTAGTTTCTTTGGTATACTGCACACATGCTCCTAGAGTATCATGACGCCTATTTTTTTTTCGTTCACATCCAACAACAATTAATTTGTATTGAAATGCATACCATTGTTATTGGATGCAATATTTTAACAGTAAATATGTCATCAGTCATTCCTGATGATGACATGATTAATGTTGAAATGTTGAATCCCAACATGACGGTGTGCATTTCAATTCTTGGAGTCTGTATTATACATCCTTATATCTGAGATTAATCCGTGGACCTTTCAGTTATTAGTAACTTGTAATTTACAGTATAGAATGGTGCTTTATAAACTAAGTCTTCTTATGAAGATGGGGAGTGGCATTGATTTTACTCATAAGAAAAATATCCTTGCTGTGATGGTGTTTTTTTTTTTTGTTTTTTTTTAAAGGGTGGTACCTGCAGAAAACTAAGGGTGGGTGGTTGACATTTTAAGGGTGGGTGGGTGATTACATTGGTAAACAACCTAAATAAAAAGAGAGGATTTTAAGAATGGGCAAGGGGTTAATAAAGGTACGTAACAGTAGGTTGACTGCAATGAAATTAGTTTTGTGCTTTACTTTGCTTGGGCATTGTTTATTAGAGCAGACATCTTTTGTTGAGGGCCATGAAATTAGTTTTGTGCTTACTTTACTTGGTTTAGGCGTTGTTTAATACAGCAGAAATCTTTACAGAACAGTTACTTAACCCTGTCTGTAATTATGTCTACACCATCCATCAATAAAATAAATTTATCAGTGACCCAAAAATATCTAAAAACAGCAAAATAGGCTCCAAGGCCCATATAACCCCATATACAGTAAGCCAAGCATTAAATAGTATGTCACGCACAAAGCTGTAGCCATAGTAAACATTGGTTTTGTCTTCTGATCAGTGTTGATGCAATTAATTGCCTTGGATATATATACTCAATTAAATCAATAAAAAATGGATAAGAGAGGATGTAGCCTTTTGCCAGCTATGACTAATTGTATGAATTAGATTATTAAAGATAGCATAAGTTTACTATATACTGTTTCTGAGAAAATATGGAAAACATTCCAGGGTTATTAACAATGACTATGTCACATTCCTGGTTTACATAGTTTGGCAGGATTACAGAAATGGAAAAGGCATTTGTCCTGCCACATACAACCAGGTGCTCAGAAGTGGAAATTAAGGTGGGGCTTCCTTGAGGCCGATGCATGCCTGACAAGCATGCACAGAGACGCGTGCCACATTTGGCCTACTTTCTTTTTTTTCTCTCTTTTTTGGCCTTACCTGTGTCATCAGTTTGACCAGCTTGCACTACACCACATTGATAAATCTGAAAGATCTGTTTGTTTCTATTATTATTATTTATTATATTGTTTATTATTGTTGTTTATCGTTTGTTTTTTTCAAAATTTGTTTTCATTGTAAATTTGTTTGTAAGGTGATACTTTATAAAGCATTCATGATAAAGTTTTTAGTTCAACACAATATTTTACTTAAAGATTTAGGAGATAAAATGTGAATAAATCTATTCTAATACAAAGGCTACTCTCAAAGTATTTCATGTTAATGCCACAGTACAATGTTGGTATTGAATAATTACATCATATAATTTAGACAGCCGTATTGTTTGTTTTGTCTCCATAGATGTAAAGACCTTAAATATTCGGCCAAGTTACCAACGACGAGTGTGATTATACCGTTCCACAACGAAGCGATGTCAACTCTACAGCGCACAGTCCACAGCGTTATGAACCGTTCGCCCCCGCAACTGTTACATGAGATCATACTAGTTGACGATTTCAGCGATAAACGTGAGTAGTCAGTCGTATTTACTTTCTTTGAGGATTAGTAGAGATAAATTAACGTACTATTAAGCTCCGTCTAGGTTAATGCATTTTTTTTGACAGAAAAATTGTTGTATGCGCATATATGGTAATGCTGTGCCTATATATGGTCATGATGCGATGTCATTTTGGCCTTATTTAGGCATGTCACATGATTTTGTCAAATAAAACATGTTAGTCTGTATAAGGCTTTAGAATTTACAGGTAATAAAAGTACCGTAAACGCTTAAATAAGCGCCACGGCTCTCATAAGATTTTTAGAGGCTTCAGTGCGGCGCTTAAAGAGTGGCGCTTACTAAAAAAAAATAATGGTGTAGTGCTTTCTATGCCCTTTCCCATGTTATCTATCTTATGTATTCCCATAGTTCAGTAGACCTATCATAGGTCCTACGTCATCGTAAATAAATGTTTATAAGGAAATGCAAGTGTTATTTATTCATTTTAACACTGTATACCTTGTATTTACAACCCTGTTGTAAATACAAGGGCAGTATATACTCTCGATAAAGCATTGCGGCGCTTTTTCGAGAGCGGCAATTAGCGAAAAATATCAGGTTTGGTGTGGCGCTTATTCCAGCATTTACGGAATGTTGTGTTTATCATCATCATGAACATTTGCACTGTATTGCATTTTGTACAATATGACATACGCAGTGGTGGTGACAGGATTTCCCGACGGGGATGAAGGTTGCTAAGCTGGCCAGTTGTCGTCATGCTCATGATGATCATCAGCATCATCCTCACTATATCTTCATCATCGTTATCATTGTCATCATCATCGTCCTCATTGTCTTCCTCATTAACTGTTATTGTCATAAAAGTAAAATAAATCTCTGATCGTTATTACTACAATGATCGTAGACAACAAGTATTATTTTAATATTGAAATACTGTATTTTAATATTTTTTTTTTTCTTTTGGCATCTCCATAATTGTCCAGGTTGTTTTGTCTTTCTGTATTCTAAATAGTTTTTTTTTGTTGAGATGAATAAAATAAAGTTATAAAATAGCTATATTTTTGTTATTTTAATCCACTATTTAGCATTTTTGAGGGAACCATTAGAACAATACATGTCGAGATTCCCTAAGGTGAAGCTTTTAAGGAATGCTCGCAGAGAGGGATTGATCCGTACCCGTCTTGCCGGCGCCTACGCAGCGACAGGAGATGTCATCCTAATTCTTGATTCCCATTGCGAAGTGAATGTGAACTGGCTACCACCGTTACTTGGTAATACACATACTCATTTTCATTATTTACAAATGTTCATTGAACAGCATAATTCATTATATTTGAATTTCCTAATGAATTATGTATGAGGGAAGGCCTTTTAATGAATAAATTATATATGAAGATAAAAATTTTAATGAATAAATTGTCTAATAAATACTTTATATAATCTAAATTATCTAATTTCTCATCTTTTTGTCAAATAAAATCTGATAGTCTCGAAAGGGCTTTAGTATCATATAGAGATATAAAGAAATTTAAATATGTTATAATTTAATTTTTTACAAATCACTTAGCTATATATTAGTTTGTTACTGGGAATGTAGACATGCATTAAAAATACTGTCATTTTCTATTTTCAGATCGCATTGCATCAAATAGAAAGCGAATAGTTTGCCCCATGATTGATGTCATAGGCAACGACGACTGGCACTATGAAACCCAGGCAGGTGATGCGATGCGAGGTGCGTTTGATTGGGAACTCTACTACAAGAGAATTCCAATCAACGAGGAAGAGAAGAAAAGGCGAATCCATGCAAGCGAACCATTCAGGTAATGAGATGTTGGCCTTATATGGGGTTTTCCTTAATTTTTTTTTTTTTTTCGCTTTAAATCAAATCCAACAAGAAAAATAAATCACTTTCAGGCTTGAAAAGACAGGCAAGATTTTGTTGGCCTTATAAGGTATTTGGCATTATATTATTGTGTTATCTTTATATTGCACATACTTCCTTCATTTATTAATTTTATTGAGAAATTTAACAATTCAATATGCCAATTAATAAAATACAAAATGAATGATTGATTTGATGAGATGTATGTACAAGGATATAATATCAATGATTGTAGAACTGTTTAAACAGTAATAAACCGAGCACAATATATTATTAATATTATTCTTCAGAAATAGTATCAGACATTGAAAAATTTACAAATTGTAAACAGGTCGGTTGTTCAGAATAGTAGGGGCTGTAGTAGTATTGGTGGGTAGTACAGTACTCATGAATATTGTTTGACCAAAAATGTTCAAATAGACTGATCAAGTCATTATATATTTCACCTTGCATTTCACTAGCTGTGGATTAGAATGTGTTAAGATATGAATTTTATTTACGATGTATGAATGCATATAAATCGATATTAGCTTTCTATCTATTCATTGAAAAGAATATATTAATCTTTACTATTTTATTATTCCGTAACATGTTTTATTATTTTGTTCATGACTTTTTTCAACAACCTTTAAGTCAGACGACCAGTTTAAAATTCACCATTATTTATATACAAATCAATTTGTTTGATATAACAATAAAGAATATGAGATTGGTATTTATTACATTGATTAAGCTCATAAAATATTAGTAACTTTAATATAGATAGCCCATTAAATAATCAATATGCTAGTTAAGCATATTAATGCCTCTATTCAATTGAAAATTTCTTCAATTCAATATGCCATCAAGTTTTATTAAAATTATTGACTAAAACTTCTATGTAATAGAGTACATATAATTGATTATACTGATAATTAATAATAATTAATTGGTAATAATTACATGCAAAGTGCAGCATTGATTGAATGATAATGGAGCTTTATACATGATTGATATAATTATTATTCATTGTCTAATAATCCTCAAGAAATTGATTGTACTTTACATAGATTTATCTTAAAAATAAAATTATGTATTAATGAGGTTTTGGATGGATGGATTTATTCGGTGCAAACACCAAGGGTAACCCACAAAAGTCCGAAGAAGACTTATTTCCAGTGGGTTCCTTCTGGTGGTGATTGGACAGTACACCGGGAGACAATCCCCTACTCTTTTCCGAAGAGTGTACTGTGTTCTTTAACATGCACATGGGGCTTAATGCGAACAGGACCAACGGCCGTTTTCTCGGCCCAGAAACCTGTTGGCCTTGCCAAACTCCTATTATTTCTCCAAAGATTAAAAGACAAATTAATGACCTACTTTTTTTATATAAGTATTTAAATTCAATGTTTACCTGTAATATTGTTTCTAATTTCTATCTTAATGTCCCTGTTCGTAGACTTCGTTCTAAGCCTATTTTAAATGTACAATTCTCACGTGTTAATGTTTGTAAAAATGGTATTTTTGGTAGACTGTCTTCGTTTTATAATAATTGTGTTTGTAATAATCCTGAATTTGATGTTTTTCATTGTAGTTTCTCTCAGTTTAAGTCTATCACATTTGAGTCTTTAAAATAAATATTGTGTAAGTTTTTATATTTTATATTTTCATCCTGTAATTGGTGTATACACTGTTGGATGTGCAATAAATAAATAAATACATTTTAAAAAAAAAAAATTAGAGAAAGAAAAAAAATGTCTCATCTGAAAGACCGTGCATTATCATAACTTGCATTTCAGCCCTCTAGCTAAAACACAATAAAAGCAGCGATGGGAATTGAACCAGGGACCAGGAGATGTCCACGGTTCAACACACACACAGTGGCTACCACTAGTTTCTGCACCTGAGCTAAGCTTCTTTAATTATTTACCTCTTGGTTGCAGGACACCAATAATGGCTGGCGGACTGTTCGCTGTTGATAGGAAATACTTCTTGGACGAGCTTGGAGGCTATGATAAAGGATTGGATGTTTGGGGTGGTGAACAGTATGATCTTTCATTCAAGGTAATATTTCCTTCAATTCCTTTTTCAGGGGCAGATCTGGGTTCAATTTTAGCGGGGGGTCATAATATTTCTCCAAAATGGATGGGGTCCGGAAAATTTTTAATAATTTTGGTAATTTTTTATGTAGTTTCCTATGATTTTAGATCACAAAATGTCTAGTACTTACAACCTATTTAATATCCTTCATAATATTTTAATTATTGTATTTTCAGTTTATACACTGTTGACTTTTTAATAAATTAGTAAATTAATTATTAGAAAAACCCAACCCATAACTGCTAAACATGTTTCCTCATCTGAAGTTGGTTTATTTCCTGTTTAATGAATAAATTAGATTTTTACACACATCATGGAAATAGATTACTGTGTTTTTAGATTCTTTTAATTATAGTATTTCTGCATGTTAGTTTATTATGATATATTTTAATACTGAATTTTGTGTTTTACACACTGTTGATTTTTAATGAATTTAGAAATTAACTATTTAAAAAAAAAGCCCAACCCTTAACTGCCACATATATTTCCTCATAAAGTTGATTTATTTTTTGTTTAATGAATAAATTATATTTTTACACACACACACACACACACCCACACACACACCATGGAAATAAATTGCGGTGTTTTTGGTAATTTTTTATGTAGTTTCCTGTGATTTTAGATCACAAAATGTCTAGTACTTACAACCTGTTTAATATCCTTTATAATATTTTAATTATAGTATTTTCAGTTTATACACTGTTGACTTTTTAATAAATTAGTAAATTAATTATTAGAAAAAGCCCAGCCCATAACTGCTAAACATGTTTCCTCATCTGAAGTTGGTTTATTTCCTGTTTAATGAATAAATTAGATTTTTACACACATCATGGAAATAGATTACTATGTTTTTAGATTCTTTTAATTATAGTATTTCTGCAAGTTTATAGTTTATTATGATATATTTTAATACTGAATTTTGTGTTTTACACACTGTTGATTTTTAATGAATTTAGAAATTAACTATTTAAAAAAAAGCCCAACCCTTAACTGCCACACGTATTTCCTCATAAAGTTGATTTATTTTTTGTTTAATGAATAAATTATATTTTTACACACACACACACACCATGGAAATAAATTGTGTTTTCAAATTCTTTTTGTAGCCATTAACTTGAAGGGAAACAAGAATAAAAAAGAATTATTAGCTGTAATTTAACAGGTTAAAGGAAAGCATGCAACAGACAATAGATTTAAGCATTCGCTGTCTGATATATATTTCTATGTAGCTTTAACAAAATCTAACAGATGTGTTTGAACAAACAACACTGATGACATTTGTATAGTTAATTGTTATCAAATATCTGTCAGCTGTTGCAGTTTTTATTATTAGCTTTACTGCAGATATAAAATGAATTTTGTAGCTGTTATTTTACATAACATTAAGTACAACTTTTCAAATCATTTTTTAAACATTCCCTTTCCATTGTATTTTGTTTCTAGCTATTTCTTTAAGTTTATAAAAATTAACAATATTTTCTAATTTAAGCCAGCTGTCTTTTAATTAGATTTAATTTATACATATCAATTTTTTTGGTCCACCGATCTGCAAACGCGCTGCCGTGAAAATCAACCTATTTCTTATAACCATTTGCATTTCTTCAAAAAGTCGACTGATTTGACTAAAAAATCGGTAACTCATCAACCTATTTCTTATAACCATTTGCATTTCTTCAAAAAGTCGACTGATTTGACTAAAAAATCGGTAACTCAACAACTAGAGGTCGGATACCTTAGGTTGAGATGGTTTATAGAAGGTTATAAATACAGTATTGTAAACAATTTGCAAAATATTTGTTTTTAAATATTAGCTCCGTCATTTTTGGGTTGAATAAAAAAAATATAAGCGATATAGCATGTTTTCAGCGGGATTTGAGCCGGCTTGTGAGAAGTCATTTATTTACGACGTCATAACTTTGCCTATACCCATCCATTTGCTTAGTTTGAAGCGGCAACAGAAAGGCTATATTCTTGTGATCAGTTATATATTATAAATAATCTTATTGGATAAAATTTTCTTCCGTCATTTTTGCATTCTTGCAAAGGCTTTCAAGAAGAAAAACTAACCGAGCTCACAGCCAGCAATGGGATCAAGGCGTGTTCCATTTTGTGAACTGATGAAAATCTGGTACCTGCTGTATCAAAGACTTATTAAAATTCAATAAATGAATACTCTTGATATTGGACTATTTTTACAGTTTAATAAATAGAATGGGAATCTATCTTTAATAATGTTCACAAGTAATTGATCGTTTAATGGAGTGCATTTTTATATACACTTTTCGGATAATGAAATAGTCCAAACATTGCGCAGTGTAGTACGTTCAGTCTGTTCATTTTTGCCTTTCATACACACGCGCAGTATTAAAATTGTTTTGTTTTGTGGTCACAACAGCCTAACAAATTGATATGATGTAACACTGTGTTCCATTTCGGCTTTTCAAGTTTATTGATTGACTGACTGTAAACACATGTACACAGTGTATAGGAGTGAGTTCATCACAAAGCAAATGTTAATGCTGTTAGTTAATAGTTTAACAACAGAGTTATACTTACGCTGTCCCTTTGTGGACCTCTCTGCGGTATTGGTATACTTTTATCTCTAATCGATTTTTTTCTTTATAAATAACAATATAAACATAGGCATCGTACTCGAGACAACACCATAGTGCTCAGACCACACATGAAGTGTAACCACCTATGTTTGAGGTTTTCCAGTATTTATCACCGTATTTTCCAGATAATTATAAATAAGTCGATATTTTGGAAGAAAATTAGATTGTGAAATTGGGTTGTTGACGTATATTCTGAGTAAATGTTTATGTAAAAAAATGAGACCGTAAAAAATTGAGACAATCGTCAAAACTTGACCACCAAGGTTCTAAACTACTACCACTACTAGTCTAGCCTTGGCTAGAGGCCTAGATCTACACTTAGCTAAATTCAGCCCAACAGATAGCTTTCACAGAATTTTATATTGAAGGCAACAACGTAGAAATGTTGAACATTATCTGAATACAAATGGGGAAAAAAATGCAAGTGGAATTATCTAAATATAAGGGAAAAGAAAATGCAAGACATGAAATGAAATAAATTTATGTCGAACAATATTTCAATGGCATTTTGGATTCGACTTAGGCAAGTTCAACTGTACACACATCAAATTTATTACAAGCAGACCAACTAAACCTATGTACAATTGTTGTTAAAAATAAAAAATATTACCTATATCTAATTGCTACAAAAATTATGCATTATTATAAAAATATACTTATCTATAAAAATATGTTAAATTTATTGCAACAAAACTTGTATACAATCATATTAAGAATTTAAAATTGTTGCCTACATCTAATAAATACCTCAGTATCCTAAAATTTCACATGTAAGTATATTAACCACAGGATTACAGCTGTGATTATGTATTCATGCAAGGATTATATAGTGAGTGATATTGTTTTTTGTCAGATTTGGATGTGCGGTGGTGAAATGGAGGACGTTCCCTGCTCTCGTGTTGGGCATGTCTATCGTAAATTCATGTCTTATTCTGTACCAGGTGGCGGTAACGTCATAAATAAGGTATGTAACTGCTTAATTTGCAATGACACCCTCCACAAAATGACATTTGCTATGGTGACAATGCTCCCTGTAGTTACAATAGTAATATTTTTATATTGACATTCTCAATGGTTACAGTGATATTATATATGGTTACAGTGACATTCTCTATAGTTGTAATAATTTAATTCATTTAATTTATGTCAACATATTTTGTGAGGCTGGGTCAATCAACCAGGGCTGATCAATTGGGACCTTCAGTACATATAATTAAAGACAAAATATAAAAGATGAAAATTAAATAATTTGTTTTAACATTAACAAATTAATTAAATTAAAAGAAAATATAAAATTAGAAAGAGTTTATAAATATTACAAATAGTAATTAACAAAATGAAAATAAAAGTAAAATTGACACCATAAAAAAAATAAATAAAATAATGACAATGGCACTTGCCATTGTTGTAGTGATATTCACTTTGGTTAAAATGTTATTTTCCGTGGTTACAATAACATGCTTTATAGAAATGGCATAGTTACAATAATTACAATAGGTTTCATAGTTACATAGTAAATTCATAGTAAATTTGAATTGTCATAACAATTTATTCATTATATACTACCCATGTCAAATTATTATCAAAAATTAATAAAGAAAACTGCAATTTTTCTTTTTTTAATGATTTATTTATAAATTAAATTTCATTATGAACCTTAGGATTAGAGCAGTTTATAATCATAAAAAAACAGGATTTGAACCTGCGACCTTGGGATTGGAAGGCAAGGAGCTTAACCACCAAGCTACAGTATATGTGAGAATGATTTGAGTGTCAGAGTGCATTATCTGTGCATATATGTTTACCAACACATAATCCCCACTATATTGTAAGTACAGTGATATACACGTCCAAAGAGCTGACGTTAAGGTTTCCGCATGAGCGGACACAACTGCTGAATCTTCACACGGTCACACACAATTAATCACTCTATTAGTCCCGTGAGATACACATGTGCCATTATTGATTTATAGAGCAGTTGATTATAAGACATACGACTAAGAAGATAATCAGTGAGAATCACGGTCGGGTAATCGCTGCTCAGAAAATATGAATAACCTGTCAGCGTCAATGAGATTCTATGCTATAAGCTTACATTATAATTTTTATGCAAGTTATTATTAGGCAGAAATTATTTTATGTTGGTTAAATCAGACTGACCCAAAATTTTGATATGGTCTCCTTTAAAGCAACAAAATATACTGTATAGTTCCTCGGGTATAAGCCCGCCTTGGGTACAAGCCTTACCCTACTTTATATACAATTTTATGTACCAGGTTTTCCTCTATTCAAAAGCCTTGATTTGAAGGAGTAGCTCAGTTGTCATCAGGGGCGAATCCAGAGATGTCCAAAACGGGGGAGGCGAAAGTTGGCCAATCGAGACAACACTGTCCTAGGGGTTCCCCGCGAAATTTTTGTGTTCCCCGCGAAATTTTTGTGTTCTAGACGCCCGAAAATAACATTTGAGGTGTTCTCGGCTATCACTTTTTTTTTTTTTTCCTTTATTTTTTTTCTTTTTTTTTCTTTTTTTACCTCCCAAAAGGGTGTGGTCATCTTGACTATTTTTATATTAAAGGTATCAGATTTGCAGTGAATTAAGCATTAGTGTTGAAAAAATGCCTTTTGATTGGGCATTGAAAAAAATGACATGTCGGTTTTTTTTTAAATATATTTATTCCGGTGTGAAATTGAAAACGTAAATTACAAACAGCAGCCAAGGCTGATATGGTTTGTACCAGGGCTGGAAAAAGTGCACGACCGCGTGACCGGCAGTCTGAGGCAACATGAATCTTCCAGAGACATTTTGGGGGAAAGAAATTGGAGCAAGCAAAAATATTATATTTATGCACTAAATTGTGATGTGCAAAAAAAAAAAAAAAATTTCTAAAATGCCTCCAGGTTAAAGGTCGTACACTTTTTCCAGTCCTGGTCCTAGACACAAACATTTTTATCCAGGCCTGGTTTGTACTAATTTTTAAAGAAAATAGACATACAAAAACATTCAATATAAGAAACACATCAATATTAAAAAATCTAGGTATATTATTATAATTATTAATATAAATATACTAAAAGGCAGATTTGTTATGTACAGTAAAGATTGTCATTTAGATTTAAAGAATGCATTAAGAACTGTTAAAAAGAGAAGATGAATGAAATTGTTTCAATTATAATTAAAAATATGAAATTGAAAAAAAATTTACAAAAAAACCGGGGAAAAATTGAAACATAAAGAAAATTTAGGTGAAAAGAAAAAAGTATCATTTTATTTCTGAAAATATTATTTCCTGGGTATAAACCCATTTCATAAAAATTGGCCCAGTTTTAATGATTATCTAAAATAGTCCATAGATTTCAGCCCTATGATTACCATTTTACCAACCAAAGTGCATGGGGTAAGTTGTGGTTGGCATTGAAACTGAAAGTTGTGCCGGGCCCTAATTGTGCCATCCTGATTTCTAAAATGCCCTTTTAGGACGTTTAGTGTGGTCTTAATTATTTTTTGTAACAATTTAATTTTTATCCAAAAGTGTGTTGACTCACCACTAGCAGGATGGAACTGATACTCAATAAACTCGCATTATAATATTTAGGAAATGGATTTGTGTTTAGTCGTTGGAAATAAATACGGTATTGGTTCTTTAAATCCGGGCACTCATTGTGTAGTACGATGGTCATACAACAAATCCAACTTCACTCATTGTGAGTACTAGACGATACCACGCTGTTTGCTGATTGGCGGGGGAAGTTAGAACGGATTGTCATAAAAAAACGATTTGTTGCGTGTGTGCGTCGGGGCTTTGCGTTCTTCATAGAATCGCATCGGGTGACAACCGTGAGCGAGTGTCCGGCTTAAGGATTTTAACTCAAGACCTTGACATTTTAAAGGTACTATCAGTCAAAAAGACTGGAAAATACCTCAAAAATTTTAATAACATTTTGAAAAGCTCAATTAAAGGGAACAAATAAATTATTAGCTTCCAACGAGAAACAGATAAAAGACACCGACATTTTACTACAAAAATCCTTAAATTGATTACTCCAATTCAAGGATCTATGCAAATGAATAGAAAAAAGTTATTTTGTAACTGTCCAAAAGTTGATGTGGAATATATAATTATTCAATTTTTTTTATCAATGTTATTTTATTCATTATTATTGTTATTGTCATCTTTGATATGTATGTGTGTGTATTAATCTCATAAATATGCATCACTAATTTGTTATTTTTCTCTAAATATTAAACTTATTAATATGTATTAATCTCATAAATTTTACAAATTCATTATTTCTCTCTAAATATTAAAATTATGAATATGTATTGATCTCATAAATATGCATCACTAATTTGTTATTTTTCTCTAAATATTAAACTTATTGTTAATATGTATTAATCTCATAAATTTTACAAATTAATTAAATATGCATCACTAATTTGTTACTTTTCTCTAAATATTAAACTATTGAATGTGTATTGATTTCATAAATATGCATCACTATTTTGTTTTTTCTCTGTAAATATTAAACTCATGAATATGTATTGAACTTATAAATGTGCATCACTAATTTGTTATTTCTCTCTAACTATTTCATAAAGAATTTGATGCGAGTTGTTGAAACGTGGATGGATGATTGGAAGAAATACTTCTACGAACGCAGACCTTACCTCAAGGGGGTAAACTTTGGTGACATAAGTGATCAGATGAACTTAAAAAAGCGACTCAATTGTCATAATTTTACATGGTTTATGGAAAATGTAGCACCAGACATTCTGAAGCACTACCCGCCTGTTGAGCCCAAGCATGCTGCAGAGGGCCAGGTATGAGTTTAGTATTTAGCTTTTTTTTTTTATAAAATCATTTTACAACTTTGTTCATTTCTGTTATTACCCTCACCTCTCCGAATTAGAGGTGAAGAGTATTGCAGTAGCGCGCGTCTGTGGGTGTCTGTGATGTGCGAGTCCTTCCGGACGCATAATTCAAAAACTAACTGTACTTCAAATGTTCACACATTGACAATTTATTGCGAATCGGAATTAGAATGCAATTTTTTTGAATTTTTAAGATTTTTCAGTATATTGGGAGATAGGCTACCATGTACATAAATGCCATTATTTTTTCAATATGGATATGGCTCAACAGGGTGAGGGTTTGTAATCTCAGGTTATCTTGATAGTAGTACTTTCAACTCAACATTTGTGCCTTTGAATTTTTTTTTGTTATTAGGTTCATAGTGTGTCTTCAGGATTATGCCTAAAAGTTACTCAGGGCGAAAAATCTGAGTTTGATTTAACAACATGTAGCACATCAGTAACCAAAAACAGTAGACAAGTAAGTGTACTTTGAAAACAATTTTTATTAATTATAACACGGTATGTGGGGTTGTAAAACCTACATCTTTATACAATGTGTGGCCAAATGAAAAAATATATATTTTCCTTCATGTTTTCGAAAAAAAGAAGGATGAGTATACTTTTTGCTTTGATGAGCTCTAGAAATACTCGGCTGATTGATCATCTTTTTGAGCTCTACTGCCTCTATTATACTGCCCTCATGAGGCTGATTGATTAATAGTTGATTGATTAATAGATTTTTTTCAGCTCTACTGCTTCTATACTGCCCTCATCGGAGCTTTCGAGATTACGAGACCTTGTTTCTAGTTAGTATTAGCCCAAAAAATGTACTCGCTTTTTATTATAAAGTGCTTGGTACTCAACGTAAAAGTACTAGTTGCCTGCGAAACGTTCCCACAAAGTAGTTCCCATGTCACCAAAATAATTCTTTGTATATACTGTACTGTACTGTACACCAAAAAATAACAAAATGTGTATCAAAAATATTTGGTACTATTCCAGTGTTCATAATATCAAATGGATTATACTTGTAATTGGAATTATTTGAAATATAAATATATCTTACTTTACTTCCATGTTACAATATCATCAACTTCATCAGGGAAGCTGATGGATTTGTCACAGATCCACTTGTCACATGATTATTAAAGTATGCAATATGTCACAGGATTTGTATTGTGTGAACAGAACAGTATACATGTTTTTGACTTAAAATTTTGTTTTCCATTTCAGTATTTCGCTCTTACGTGGCATGATGACCTGCGTATAGGATCAACTAAGTTTAAAAAGTGCATTGACTTTCCATATAACCGTGAAGGGTCTGCGCCCATTATATTCCCTTGCCATGGGGGAGGAGGAAACCAACTATGGGTGTATAATGAGGTGAGTGTGACACAATAATACAAAATGCTTTGATTTTGACATTCAGTTGTCTTGACAATTCTGGTTGAAAGTGCTGAATAACACCTGTACTGGCACAAATTGAGCTGGTATGGAAGTGCAAGTTCTGTGGACAATTTCCAGTTAAGTTTCCTTTACCAATGACCACTGCTCAACCAGACTGGTACCAGCACAAAATTAGCTGCTAGACAGGTGTTGTTGATAGGTTCTTGTTAAAGTTCCATTGCTAAGAGCTTCACCACACCAGTTGTGCCAGCATAATGAGTTGCTATACAGGTGTTGTTGACAAGTTCTGGTTGAAGTTCTTCTACCAATAAAGTGCTTCACCACACCAGATGTGCAAGCACAAAGTGAGCTGCTAGACAGGTGTTGTTGATAGGTTCTTGTTAAAGTTTCTTTACCAATAAAGAGCTTCACCACACCAGTTGTGCCAGCACATAATGAGCTGCTATACAGGTGTTGTTGACAAGTTCTGGTTGAAGTTCTTCTACCAATAAAGTGCTTCACCACACCAGATGTGCCAGCGCAAAATTAGCTGCTATACAGGTGTTGTTGATAGGTTCTTGTTAAAGTTTCTCTACCAATAAAGAGCTTCACCACACCACTTGTGCCAGAACATAATGAACTGCTATACACGTGTTGTTGACAAGTTCTGGTTGAAGTTTTTTTACCAATAAAGTGCTTCACCGCACCAGATGTGCAAGCACAGAGTGAGCTGCTAGACAGGTGTTGTTGATAGGTTCTTGTTAAAGTTTCTCTACCAATAAAGAGCTTCACCGGACCTGTTGTGCCAGCACATAATGAGCTGCTATACAGGTGTTGTTGACAAGTTCTGGTTGAAGTTCTTCTACCAATAAAGTGCTTCACCACACCAGATGTGCCAGCACAAAGTGAGCTGCTATAGAGGTTTTTCTTCATGTTTTTAAATTTCTTCTTTGTTTGGAAAATAATACTGATCATGAATAGCTATTTGACTAAGAAAACTATGTTATGTTTTGTAGGAGCACCAGCTGTTGTACCATAAAATGTCAAGGTTTTGTCTGGACAGTGCACCATCATCGGAGGCAAGAGTTGTACTCACAAAATGTAGCAAGACATCAAAAACACAAAAATGGAAATTTGACAAGACAGATAAAGGACTCCTGCAGAAGCTCAACAATAGACATAGTATATCTTTTGAAAGTTAGCAGTAAATATTTTTAAGGTTTTAAAATGTTTTATTAAACCAAATCAACCAGACAGTTATTTGTCAAAGCTGTGCCTTCATGTACTCAACATTGAAACTTTCATATGTGTCTATGCTAAGGTGAAATTAGAGAGCTTTCGCTATCCTGTCCGGGAACGAGTGCCACGTAAGAACTGTCTCCCTATACAACGATTGTTCAAAATAGTGTTTATCTACTTATTCTAGCATTCTCCTTGCTATGTATGCTTTGAAAATTATGTGATTCTTTGCAAACCGTAGCTAGCCTAGAAATCGTAACATAGTTTGCGGGTCAAAGACTTTCGTGCATACCTAAACAGGCGGTAGATATGCAGGGGCCTTGGCCTAATATTTGTTGAAAAATCTCCAATACCTTTTGGACCATTTGCAAACCATTAAGGCAAAATTCTCAACTTGAATTTCCAATCAATTGGTATAGTTTACTGGTGTCCCAACCACGATTATTCATCATTATACAAATCCTGGCTGCCGATGCAATCGCTCTGTACAACACCGCTGTGCTAGTCAATTGTTTACATCCAACGCCCAAGTTAGGTCACGTGACACCCATCACCGAAATGATCTATTGAATTTTTCCACAAAAGACAGGCCCTAGTCATACCGTACAGTTTAAGCAGCCGTGTCACCACAGCACAAGTACGAGTGCCAGAAACATCGCATCAGGCTGTGTTATCACCAAGAATGTTTGATTCCCGTAGCATTCAAAACGAGATAGCAAAACTGATATCTGTTTTTGTACAAGTACGGAAACATGAAGGAGCAATATTCTTGGTAAATGAATTCTCGAGCAGGATAGTGAAAGCTCTGTACTTATTTTTTATTCTCTGTGAATGATTTTCAATTTTTCTGCTTTAAAATATTGTATGTAAGAGGGTGAATATTCCTGGGATCCCATTGTTTTCTTCTAATTTTTATTGTCTATTTTACTCAATTTGTTTTAAACACTAACTTCGATTAAAAATATATATTATTAAAATATATTAGTTTAGGTGATTGTAAGTTGTTTTTTTTTTGCTTTAACAATTTTTGATAAACATTGTTAAAAATTCTATTTATGTTTAATTTTAATTTTCTTTTGAATTATAAGCGTATTTCTAAATTGTTTATATTTTCCCTTTGTTTTTAGATAATAATAATCAGTTGCTTATCTAGAAGTCTTGAAATGGTGGGCGGGGGGGTGTGGGAGGGAATGATGTGGTTGCAACAGTGGAGGACTTGATTGAGGGGGAGCAAGGTCACAAAATATGGTGATATGAAGTGATTTTTACCAACTTGAATATTTTTTTTTTATCTGTGGGTGTGACTAGGGTGGGGGTGCTTTATTCGTGGAATTCCCCACTCCCCTTCCCCAAAGGACCCCTTAAATATGCCACTGATATTAGTAGGTCTTCAGCACTAAGTCAATTTGCTTGAAAAATTCTGTTGCTTTGGCAACGCAATGTAAGATGTGTGAGGGCAGCATACAATATATATTGTTGATGATTGAATTGAAAAATTGAAAAATAATGCTTCTCCAAAAATTCCCTTTTGTATTAATTATCAAATGGCATTTTCTTTCTATATTCTTAAAAAAAAATTTTTGAATGTAATATGTGTTCAATAATTTTGAAATTAGGCAAACTTTATTCAAGAAACTTTGCTGATAAAATGTGTGCTAATAGAGGTTTTTTTATTTATGATTTATTTACTACATTTTTCCGAATATACACCTCAAGGTGTTTATTGTTGAGAATGGTTTTTGAGGGGGCAATTATTTGATGAAGGTGTTTATTTTTTTTGGGTGTAAATGTGAAACTACAGCCCATAATTATTGTCAAAATGTGTTATTACGTGATCGAAGACTTATTAATCCCAACCAAGTTGGAAAAAATGTAATTCTACTGAAATAGAACATTAATAGAATGTGGTGAGAAGGATTTGCTTTCATTAGATGTATTTGAAGTCAGTTGGGGTTGGAAGGGTGGGTGTTTATTCGAGGAAAAATAAAGAGCATTTATTCGAGGGAGGTGTTTATTCCAAATGAGGCTCTAGGGGGGCATTTATTAATTATTTAAGTGGGGAGTTTATTGGAATGAATATGGTATCTTATGTTATTTTATTATTACTATTTTAGGCTCTAGAGGGGGCATTTATTCAGGGCAGCAGTTTATTCAAAGCAGGGAGTTTATTGGAATGAATATGGTATATTATGTTTTTATTTTATTATTACTATTTTATTATTACTTTATAATCTTTTTTATTATAATTATTATGTGTTGTTATGTATGACTAACTTTTATTATATTGTGTTTATTATATGCCTAATAATTATTAGAATAATAATATATTATTTTCTATAATAATTGTTTATTATAACAAACGTCCAGGTAAATGCAGATGTTGGTTGGATTCAATCACAAATGAAAGTTTAACAATATTATTATTGTTATTTTATTAATCTTATCTATTTTTAATGCTCATACATTCCATTGTATATATACTGTGTCATGAATTTGTTTATAATCATTGTATCAGCCTACTACATTCCTCCCTCATGTTTTTATGGACTCAACTATTTTATTGTAAAGGGGTGGTGTAAATCGATAAATCTGTACCAAAATACTCAGGATAACCCCAGTGGGTGAATAGCATTGTTTACTACCTGTTTATAAATGTGTAAACCTCGGATACGAAACACTACATATATAGTATTGGTTTATGTTTTTTTTTATGCAAGTTTAAGCAGTGACTGACAATCAATGTTTCACTGGTGCTCTACCAAATTGTCAATTAAGTTTAAAAAAAGAATAATTTTGATTAAGCAATAAACATAAGAACTTGGAGTGCTATGAGTCTTTAAAAGCTTTAAACACACTGTCTAGTTTGTGTGACAAATTTATGTAAATATCCATATATAGGCATGATGATGTCATTTCACATCCATATATGGATGTGATGATGTCATATCACTTTCATATATGGCATGATGTTATTACATCCATATATGGGCATGATGATGTCATATTACCTCCATGTATGAGCATTGCATTATGTCATATTACATCCATATATGGGCATGATGATGTCATTACATCCATATATGGGCATGATGATGTCATATTACATCCATATATGGGCATGATGTCATTACATCCATATATGGGCATGATGATGTCATTACATTCATATATGGGCATGATGATGCCATTTTACTTCACAGATGGGCTGGATGATGTCATATTATGTCCATATATGGGCTGGTGATACCATATGATATCCATATAATATGGGCAAATCACAGGTGTTTGTCACATTAACTGTAATAATCTAGATAGAACTTAACACAATTCAGCACACTTTGCTTGAATAGTGAATCAATCAAAAGCCAGGAACACACCTCTCTGTTGCCACCGACAGTCAAAAGAGGGCATCACGTCCTGTAGCTCTCTCAGAGGGCGGGGATGGATCCGTCGACCGACGGTCATACACTTGTGTGCCTGGCTTTACTGTGTTTTAATTTTGATCTTGCATAGTTATAATTGCATAAAATTATATTTTTTATTGAATAATTGTTATTATCTTAATTATTTCTTTCAAAAATGTATTTGTAACCTAAGAGATACTGTACAATCTTTCATTTATGTCATTTAATAACTCAATACTTTATGTTTTAAATCAATAATTAATTTTAAATGAAATGTTCACTTGTTACTGTTTATTATTACATATTTCACATATTTTATATCAACATTATATTAAGAACTGCAGGCTTATATTACACATTAATGTTCTTATTTTAACACAAACTCATTGGTATAGCCCCTCTTTAATAGTTGCCTCTGTTTTATGAGCTGGCGTTTTAATAGACTGTTTTACTAAGTTCCACCCATTTAATGGAGGTTCGATAAAATGATGTGTGTTTTTTGGAACAGGCTCAAATGTACTCGCGCTGTTCTGATTGGTCAGTTGTTAAGTTTGATTGACACTCCAGAAAGGTCTATTACACAACTTCTGAGTTGAGTTCAGTGGTTGTGCGTATAATTACTGTATATGGTTTTTACATATGTAATACTTATTCGGGGCTGCCGTATGTCATGGAATACACGACAATGACAATGATATTATATTTTGATATGTGCAATATAATAATATAATTTTCAATAAGATTAATGGTGGTTTTGATCAATATAAATATTGATTATGCTTAAATTTAACAACTCATTTATTGGTTATTATTGTAAACCATGCTTTGGTCCTTAAATAGAATCTGGTTTGCTGTTGATGTTTACTTTCAACTAATTACACATTTTTTTTTATGTTTCAAATTTTTAAACAGTTTATGAAAGAGCAATAAATTAAATTCTGTTTTAAATTTGTTTTGTTTGTGTTCGACTGCTTTTAATAGAATACCACAGGACAGGGGAGTGAATAAACTCATAGTAGAAGGACAAGGCTTGCTAGCTAAGAGTCAAGGGAGGTACCAGTGGGGGAAGGGGAAAAGAGAACTGTCCGTCACCCAACCCCCCCCCCCGGGGAGAAAATACAATTCTTTGGAAAAGAAAAGTATTTTTACATATTGTTTGACTCAAAATCGATAATTTTAGGCCTGTGAAATCGAAAAATTTTCGTACTTTTTTCCTGGACCCGTTTCGGGAGATCCTGAGAAACGCCAAAATGCACTAATTATATCTTCGTCGGGGACATACCCTCTCCCTGTTGGGCAAATCTGGCACCACCAACAAAAAAAAAATATCGACTACAATAAATTTACCGTCCTGCTGAAGAATGCTAATTTGTGGAAAGTGTTTCTTTACGTGAGCTTTATTCATGAAGTTGATGTTCTAGTAGTTGTAAAATTGTATTGATTAGGTCTGTTGGGGTGTGTCTCCTCCCAAATATATAATCGGCAACTATCAACAATAATACACAGTACAGTATTCGATTACGGAGATTAAAATGCTGTCCATCCGATCCAGTTCACATGCCTTTTAATCTATTACAAAAAGGTGAACAGATGATATCTAAATGGTTAAACACTTAAATACTTGAAGTATGAAATATGAAGTAGACAATAAGACATTCTTAAATATTTGCAAAAAACTCATTGAATTTAAACAATGAATTGCGTAGTTGTCCCCGCAATTCGGGACGCGCAAATTCGACCGACCAATCAGCGTCGCCGAAATCTGTCGGCGAGAGCGTGAAGTGGCGCACGTACAGGTGGTGGGCAAAGTGCGGCCCGTCAGCAATTTTTGTTGCGGCCTGCGACAATGAATTAAAAACCCTATGTTTGCGGCCCGCCAATTAAAATTGGCTAGAAAACACCTTCTTTTTAACGGCCTGACACCAATCATGTAAGAAGTAACATTAAAACTGAGAATAAAGTGATGTAAAAGCAGTGCTTGGAGGTTTTTGGAAGCTCACTGAAAACATCAAAATTTGGGTGCGGCCCTCGGTGTTAATAAAAAATTCACTTTGGCCCTCCGACCGATTTTTAAGCCCACCCCTGTTTTATGAAAACCAGGTTTTGATTCTCAGTATTTTGATTCGATTCAGCCTTGGTATAATGCACTAGTTATTTTTGTTCGTTTGTTTGTACGTCTGGCCTTCTGCCCATCCGTTCGACTGCCCACTCATCCATTAATTCAGTATGGTACTTTATGAATAACTTTTTTGAGCAACTCACTTAATTATTTCACTGATTGCATCACGGCGTACCGTTGTAGGCAGTTATGAAAGTTCCTGGTTCTATAAAACCAAAATATATATTCATATGTACAAAATATCCGTGGATATTGGAGCTATAAAAATCCTTGTTGATTAATTGATTGATTGATTGATTGATTGATTAATAAATAATAATTATCAATTAATTAATTGTTAAACTAAATTAAACTAAAACCCAGAATTTGGATAAATATTTACGGTACATTTGTACATTTTTTGATGGTTTTATTTTCTTCTCTGTGTTGTTGTTAAGTGCCTAGAGGTTGTGACAAGGTGAGGCGCTATATAAATCCAGAATTATTATTATATTATAAATATAATTAATGTATATATATTATATATTTTATAGATACAGTGCCCTCTTGCTCTACACAATAGTTATCTATAGAGGGCGCTCTATCAATTTAGCCACCATGTTTCCATCCGAAACGTAACTTGTGTTATGAGTGATGTTGACAAACTTGATGACAAGCCTAGGCCTATACAGTGTGTAAGTTTGTGATTATTGGCACTGCATGATTATGATTATGTTTATTGTGTTAGTTTTTCTAGGAAAGTGAACGGACTAGGCCTATCAAAATACTAGCAAACAATATCAGCAGATATGCTCTACCCTAACGTAGCCACAACAGCTGAGCTCAATAAAATGTCGAGAAAGCACTGAGGACCCGGAAGCCCGACACCGATAGGCTAGGCCTCTAGGCTAGCCTAGGGATAATAGCAGTACTTCAGGACTAATGTCAGACCATGGTGTCCTTCATCGAGGCACCGTTCAACCTGAGCTAGATTCTATCCAGCTAGAGCAAATCCAGGAGATTTTAAAGGATTCTATAACACCGGAAGTAGTAGAGTTGTACATAAACAATAATCGGAAAGGTGATGATGCTCATTCGGTTTTTGTGCAGCTACTAGCCAAGCTAGGCCTAGGCTGACCTAGTCTGTCACTAACGTAGGTCTAGGGACAGCATTTCACTGTCGTTTTCATTCATGGTCCATGTTTGTGGTTTTTGTAAATATTTATATGACATACCTCACATCATTTATGGTTTTGTTTCAATATGATGTCTAGCCCTGCACTGGGCAAAGGGAAAGTTGTTGCTTGCATTGCAACCTGCCTTTTTCATTATTTTTGTTGACTGTTTACAAACAAGTATAGGCCTAGTCACTATCACAAGAGCTTATTAATAAGCTCTTGGTCTCAGATTTTAGTAGCTTACATGTAATTATTAAAACAGTGTAGAGGCCTATATATATAGGTAGGTGTTTAAAAATGGTATGTCATTCATTTTTGCTGTTGTGAAACTTAAATGTTTTTAAGAAATTTAATGCTAACAAATTCATCCACAAAACTAATGCTGTAAATGTTTTGGATTGTATTGTAAAATAGCCACTAGTTGGCACTTGCTGTATTTGTATTTCCTGCTTGGGCTATAATAGTACAATGTCTGTTGTGTACATAGGCCTTTCTAAGGGCCTCCCCAAGTTCAGCTGTGCAGTGTGCAAGCCAGTCCTGGCACCGCCTTTGCTGTCACCACAGTAGAACCCCTATAAAGGGCACATCTTGGGCAACAATAAAGTGTCCCCTAATAGGGGTTGGCTATAATGTTAAAAGATAGGCTATACTTTCTTTGTTTTGTGGAAAAAAAATTTTCCTCGTAAAAGGGGTGCCCCAAAGAGGGGCTCTACTGTTCTACTTATTTTGCAAAATAACGCTGTTGCCACTTACTTCATGATTCTTGAGCTCCCACTTCTTCCAGCCCCGATCATCCCCCGCCCCAATTCACAACTCTTAGATACAGTAGAACCTCATTTTTACGTACCCCAGTTTTACGAACCCTAGGTTTTACGTATGTCTCGTTTCGACGATGACGTCTTAAAAAACCAGAAAATATTCAAAACTAATGGCCCTTTTCAGAGCAACCATAAAAGTAGGCTATATCTAAAGGCTATAACAATAGACTATAACAATAAACATACCATATGCAACATATTTTCATTAAACAGCAACGTTGATTGAGTCTAATATCGGGTTGTTATAATCTAAAACCATGTGAACTGAGCGAGATGAACAACTACCGATAGTGCTCAAAATATTTGCTTTCCTCCTTAGCTTCTTGTGGAAAACTCATCTGGTCGAATTTTCTACACGAAGCTGAGTAGGCATAATTTCGTACACGAATGCTAATTGGCTGGCTCGCCCAGTGCAGTGCACGTGGTTGCTGTTTCATGTACACAAATGCTAATTGGTTGGCTCGCCCAGTGCAGTGCACATGGTTTTAGTTTGTCTCAGCAGGCCAAGACAACACCACAGCTCTGTTGTTTAGAATAGCCATGAAGGGGAATTCCCAAATTATACCTTTGTCGTATAGGTAGTCTTACAATATTTTCATGTTCTTTAGTTGAATAAAAGATATAAAGTGATGAATTAATACACTAGACACATGGTTTTATTTGAACACTTTATAATGACATTGTAAAGTGATGAATAAAAACACTAAACACATGGTTTTATTCTTAGGCCTAAAGGTTATGTCTAGCCTAGGTAACATCGTTCATTCATAACATACGTTTATTGAGTGTTACGTACGTATTAGATCAAAGGTCACCACAAATTTAACATAACCAATTTTACGAATCCCCCGATTTACGTACGCACTCCGGTCCCGTACTGTATGTAAAATCGAGGTTCTACTGTATGTCACTGCTTATCTTGGACTAATTTACCTTTACAAAGCTGAGCAGGCAAAACCTGCACACTTTTCTTTTCAAGCTTAATGTGTAAATTTTTTATTATTATTTTATTAGAAGTAGTCATCAAAGAAGCTTGCTCCTATATAAAGGCTTTCCATGCCAAAACTAGTATCACTAGTGACAAAAAATTAAAATGACTTTTTAATGTATTCATATTCTCCATATAATAAAATAATGGTTCATTTACTTACAAAAATTATGAGTAAAAAGTAGTATGGCTACTTTGTATTAGTATACAATACTGCCATATTATTACTCAGTTGAACAATTAGTGTCTAAATCACTGTTAGCCTATATAAACACTTCACAATTATCATCAGTTCATTAACATGTTTTCTTCCCATGTGTAGTTGATCCGACGTTGGATGCTCTCATTGCCATTGCAGACCCGGACCGTCCATCTTTGGTATCTCGGATCAAAGAGGGCGCGATGGAATTCAACAATTTGAGCGGCAGTTCAGCCAAGGCAACAGTTGGGAATAAGGCAGTTGGGTTTGAAAGATCTAAGAATGTCAATGAAGGGGTTGTCAAGTCGCGGGTCAATGTGCCGGCATTGTTCTCATCTTTGCATTCAGACTATTATGATGGCGGTGCGCATCACAACAGGCTGGAGTCTACTGATGGTGCTCCTTTGCTCACGCCTGTCGATTTTCCAGGTTTTAATTATCCGTCAGTCGATGTGACGCAGCCATTATTGGCCAGTTCTTTAAAAGTCAGTCAGACTCGACAGACCATTGATGAAGTGATGGAGCCACCAGAGCACACCGGCAGAATGAAGCAACTAATTTCAAAACCAATCAACATTCCACAAATTCCACACATGGATGCATTTTACTTTGACAAGCAACAAAATTCAAGTCCAAAGTCTCCAAAAATGGAACAAAACTTGTCCAGATCTCCAAAATCAAAAATGGAACAAAACTTGTCTAGATCTCCAAAATCTGCTCCGAGGTCTCCGAAAGGACAACCTAAATCTCCTCACCAACCTAAGGCTGATTCCAAACCTTCTGGGAAACAAAAAAAGGAAAAGTACCAAGTTCCACCAAGGTTGAAGAAGAAGGCCAAATCTCACGAGATAGATAGACTGCAACCGGAACAGCATGCTGAACAACGGCGGAAGTCTTTGCCTGCAACCCTTTTTAATCCAACACTAGCAGCTGTCAAAGAACGCGCAAACTATTTACCAGCAGTCAACTGCGAAAATATCTTGATGGATGTTCCTGTGATGGTTATTCCTGAGGAAGATGAAGACAAACATGGTGAGGATGTTGGCATCAGTACTGAAGATGCAGATATGGATGATTTGCTCTTAGAAATTCAGTCAACAACCACTACAAATGATAATGATGACAATAGTGAAGATACTGAATCAAACAAATTTATTGCAAGAAGAACTCTAAGTGTTGAAGATCATAAAAAGTCAAACTTTGGCAAATGCATCGATGAGGGAAATGTTGAAATGCCAAAACACATGCCAGTTGCATTAAATGGGATGAATGAAGAGATACTTTTGCAGGAGGCAAGAATGAAAGTATCTTTAGCTCGACTTAATGTTGGCGCTAAAGAGTTTGTTCCAAGAACTACAACTCCAGAACCAAAAGTGGAGTCAGAGACTCACGTGGGAGATTATACATTTGCAGCAAGACCAGAATGTCAGAACCCCTTGATGCATCAGGGGCGGATCAGTAAGAACCTCAGACAAGCCAATCCATACATGATGCCTGGAGGAAAAACACCAGATAGAGCTTCAGCCAGAATAAACAAACTCACTATTCAGCAGCCAAATGGTCCAGAACCAGGCAACTATGTGTTAGTGCCAACTCCTTTAGTCTTCTTGCAACCAACAGTTTCTGTAATGGGAAGACAAACACCAAGCCCAGACCACTACCTACCTTCAAATGCTACACCTCCTGGTAGCCTCATTGGTAGCCCAGTAACTAGCAGACGACAGCAACCTGGCAACCAACCTAAGAGGAAAAAACGAAAGAATAAAAGAAATAAAATCAGCAAGGAAACTGAAGGCAAGTGCCAATCAAGCAAAGAGAGTGTTGATGATAACGACAGTGATAAGATTTCTATGACGGATAAAATCTCACCTATGAGAGAGGAACCGTCAGTACCGCAACCGGTGAACCACAGTCAGGTACCGGCTTGGCCGACAATTAAAACCACGAATTATAAGCCTTCAAAAAAACCAGATACTCCCAAGCCAGAGGAACCTGAACCACTGCCAGATGGAAAAGTGCTGTGTCTGATGAGGGGTTTACCTGGGTGTGGCAAGACGACCCTAGCCAGGTAATTGATTGATTGATTTTTAAATTATTTTTTGTTACAAGGAAAATGAGATGTCTTTAAGTATCCATAGGGAAATAGAGAAGGGCATTGCAATATTTATATCATGAAAAAATTATATGTTGAAATTGTCAATGTCTTAATAATTGTGACCTAAGCTCACAAACGGGCTGTAAACTCGCACTGCACTGTATTGAGAAACAAGTCTCAATACCCAGAATATCGCGTAGAACGTGAATTTTGTGTGAATTGGGTTTTTGTGTAATAAATAAGTATAACTATTAATCTTACTATTCCTGAAGGTTGAGTTTAAAATTCCAACTGTAAGAGGTAATATTTAGCCATTTTCGGATGGGAGCTTGAAAAATGAATAGAAATTCAATTATTCAAACGGTCATAACTTTGCTTCCAGACACCCGATTGAGTTCATTTAACTGTCATTTTAAAGTAAATGATATGTTCTATGTCATTATAACAAAAACTCATTTTGGCCTGAGGACGAGTTTACAACCTGTTTGTGAGCTTGGGTCACAATTATGTCCCTAACCGTGGTGTCGGGGGTGTGAACCATTGCTGTGCATTTCGCTTGTGTCCGAAATTTGCAATTTCAACTTTGACCTAATATGCAGAATAAATTAAATCTGAGAGTTTATATTTAAAAAGTTAGTTCACACATAAGTAATTAAGAAACATGTAGTGGTTGACTTGAGCTGGAACTACCAAAGAACATTGCCAGCACCTTGTATTCCCTGGCAAAAAGCACATTATAAGTCTGTTCATTATTATTCTGTATGTTTCTCTGTTGGTTTGTAGGAAATTGTTGGGAGTCGGCATTATATTCAGTACGGATGATTACTTCGTAAGCAGAAATGGAGAATATGAGTTTAAAAAGAGATTCCTAACCGAAGCCCATGATTGGAACCAGAAAAGAGGTTTGTAAAAGCAGAACAATTGTGTGTAAAATATTAGATTTTGATTTTTAAAATTTCGAATTTAATGGTCTAGATGAAACGCTAAAGTATTTTTTGCTTGCAGTACACAACGTATATAATTCTAAAAAGACTTTGTTTTGACGTTTTTTTTAAAGGAGTTGCTTCTATCGTTATTAGGAGGATAAAATAGGCAACATCTTTTTAACTTCTCTTTAATTTTTGGTGTATCTTTCGTATCATTGCAATTCCAGTTTATTAGCTGGGATATAGTAGTAGTATCAATAATAATAATAATATCGGCAGAGATTCCAAACAGGGAAATGCCTATGTGAGACTAGGTGTGAACAGACATCCTTTAAATTTCTCATTAATTTTTGGTGTATCTTTTGTATCATTTCAATTCCAGTTTATTAAACTAGGATATGATATAATAGCATGAATTATATTAGTTTGATTATTTTCATTTATATTCTTCAGTTCATGAAGCATTAGTTAAAGGGATTACTCCTGTTATTGTCGACAACACAAACATTGAAAAATGGGTCATGAGACCGTACATAGAAATGGTAAGTTGAATACATAACAACCAAATGATTACTGTATGGTAAACAATGCAGTCCAATAACTGGCTGACCACACAATGATATAAACAAATAATTATTGTATGTCAAACTACTGTATTAGTATAGGAAAGGTACATGAAACAGTAAAACAATAAAATGATCGGTGTTGTGAATAGAACCAATTTTAATATTTAGAACCATTACAGAACTGCTTACTAATAGTTGCTCCAAAGTAAAAATATTATTTTTTTAATCTGACTTATTAACTTTTAATTATTTAAATCAACTGAAATAAACCGGATCTTTGATGACATTTGGCTATTGTGAAATATGACTATTGAACTATCAGAAACCCTAACACCCCATTTTTGTCAAAACATTAAAGTTCAAAGTTCAAGGTTTGATTTATTCATCATATAAATAACTCGCATGAAATTTGTTTTATTACTGTCTTGAATGTCACAGCATCCACAATGTGATATGACATTTATATCATGTCCATATTTGTCGGTGATTTGACATCGTCGTGTACATATATGGGTGTGATGCGACATCATCATGCCCATATATGGCCTTTAGTTGATTAACTGTATTGCACCGGACCGTTTTAACCCTTCCAAACACTTGGTCTTTGTGTCAATCCCAGTGCTGCTTTCTTTTACGGCTCTGTACACACCGTGTATGCCCATATATAGTGATGATGTGCCCATATATAGTGATGATATGCCCATATATAGTGATGATGTGCCCATATATAGTAATGATATGCCCATATATAGTGATGATGTGCATGAACCAGATGAGACATCCACCCTGTCGATGTTGAGTACAATGATTCATTCTCATTAAAGAATGCAGGTCACATTTTGGAAAATTCACTTATGACAATTTATAGTTATTTTTATGTAGATTTTTTTTTTTTTTTTTTTGGTTGGCCATTAAGTTGTGGCTGTTGTCAAACCATGATGCTTATTAAAGCTGTATGCAAAATACTTTGCCTCCAGGTCAGAGCTTCTTCCCATCAGGAAACTATTCAAGTATTGAATAGCCTATTTTGTCTTTCTTTTATGTGAACAAGCTTCCTTAAAAAATACTATTCCTCATAAAATTACTTTTATCACCCTTCCCTGTTGGGAATGTGACGAGTTTGGAACCTGGTAAAAATGGTTTATAAATTTGAATATTTTTTTATTATTGTGTACTTAGATGCTACTTTTTTGAATTATACTTTTTAAAAATTAATTGGTTTTGCTACTGCTTTCTTTACTTTTAACAAAATACAAAATTGCATAGACAGATAAATACTAAATTTTACAATATTTTGTAACAGTATACCATAAAAACCTTGAATGGAAGCCCAATGGACTTAATCTTGAATTGAAGCCCCTTTCTTTACTTTTTTGCAAAAGTAGCCTCAAAAAGAAGCCCATGGGCTTTTAATCAAATAGGATGGGCTTCTTTTCGAGATAGTACAGTACGTACACTGTACATGAAAAAAAATATTTAAAAACATGCTTGGTTTATACAGTATTCTAGGTGATATAATGCCAGTTAATACATTTCATGATATAGACTGATATTACAGTGCTACCATTTATTGTTTTATAGTAGTAATTCCCCAAATTTACAGCATTCATTCTGAAATGAAGCCTTCCCTCTTTACTTTGTAAAAGTACAGTCGCCTTGAAAACAATCGCATCTTGAAAAGAAACCTATCTATAAAAGAAGCCCACCCAAAGGTTGCCCAGAGCTTCTTTATTGGATATAGGCCTACTTATTTATCTGTGTATAATCATATTACATGTAGGCCTATACGAAATTGGTGCCATCCCATTTCAAACATTCTAAACCAGGACAGCCCATGATGGTTTTTAGGTCTCTTAAGAAAACTACTGGTCGTTGTTTGATGTCTTTTTTACATTGTAATTTTTATTGTTCATTGTATTTGATCATTCTTTTAATTGTTTTACTGTATTTTAATGCGAGAACTGAATTTCCGACTTGGAGCAATAAAGTGTATCTTATCTTATCTTATCTTAATGGTTAACTATGTTTAATTGTGTTTTGTAATTTTTCTCATTTTAGGCAAAGAAACTCAAGTATGATGTCGTGATAAGGGAGCCAGACACACCATGGAAACTTAATTCAACTCAGTTGGCAAAGTAAGGCAGTATATACACTATCAAATTTTCTGTGAAAAAAAAAACTCTTATATGACCATATATAGTCATGATGTGCCTATATATGGTCAGTATTCTCCCCAGGGCAATAAGCTGTAATGCCCCCCCCCCCCTTACAGCTTCATTCAGAAAACAAGTTTACCGTTACTGCTTAAATTTACCGATACACCTTGTATGACTCGTAAATTTTTAGTTTATCAATTGTTTATACACAAGCTCTACATATACAAGGGAAGTGCACACTATCTTTCTGTAAATTTGACATTAAAGGATAAACTGTAAGCCAGTAGCCAAAGAAACCACAAGTCTGAGCTCTTAAACCTCTTTTATTTACAGCATAAACAATGGTGATGGGACCATGTTTCGCTGTGCTGTGCTAAGCCTACCTACTTCTCTGTGACTAATTCCTACCTTTAAAATTCCATGTGCCTACATCACTCTTTCTAATTAACCTTTTAAAACACAGTTTATTATTTGTGTTTCATGTATACTCATGATGAAATAGGTTTTTATGTGTTTTATTTCTAAATAAACATCAACAACTTCAGACACTCACAAGCCTAGGCAGTGAAAGTTGGCCCTCATCCAAAAAAACAAAAATAATCATGCATCACTGGCACTAGGTGAAAGGTCGACCATGTGGCATTCTCTCCTTTTGCATATTTTTTTTCTTAAACTTGCTTTCTAATTTGTCTTAAACTAAATTATTATGTTTACGTTGTAATAAATAAATTTCTACACAATATTAAAATGTTTATTAATTGTTGTCTTATATTTTTTTAATGAATTATTATTAACATATTAGTAGCACATGCTGGTTTGCCATGTCAAAAAGACTCATCACACACTGCCACACATGTTTGGCTATGGTATCTCTCAGTCTATTGTCATAGTAACCAAATGGCAAGCTTCTTATAAAGTATCTCATTGGTGGTTTGAGCAGAGTTTGAGATCGTTTCAAGAGATACCTAGGCCTAGTGTATTATCTGTCACGTTATGTTTTTTGATACAGTAGCCTATAACTTAAAGGACAGAAAATAAACTACAGTATAACAAAATAAACACATACATAACTAACTGAATGGACAATTTTATTTTTTTAAGCCAATAATTAATTCTACTCAAAAATTCAAATTCCAAAAGTCAGCACTTTTATTTATTTTTTAATAAAAGCCACAGTGTCAAGTGCATATACTTTTGTATGTAAATATCATTTTATTAATTATTATTACAAAAAAAATACCTTAAAAAAATGAAAAGTAATTTTTCTTGCTGGAGGCCCAATATATTTTTCCACTAGTTTATCACCCAATCTAGGCTGGAAAAGTGATGAGGGAAGCTAGCTCTCTTTTTTTATATTTTTTATTTTGCTAAAACCAAATATCACCCTTGGGTTGTTTGCTGGTGTATTGATATTCAAGGTAAAACATGATTGAGATAGTACAAACAATAAAAAATAAATAAATTAATAACATTTTTTTTTCAGTGCCATAAAATACATTCGTGCGACGGTAATAAACTAATGATTTTTTTTTTTATTGAGCCTAAATGATTAATTTTATTGCTTTAAAGCAAGATTAATACAACTGCGGCACCGTGGAATATTATGCGCTGAATGAGGTGTCGCTACGTGTTTTTTCCATTTCACCTTAAAAAAATCCTGGGGAGAACACTTCACATACTACCATCTCGTGTGAGGAAAGTAAAACTATGAATTATGAATTATAGTGGGGTTAGAAAATGGACTGTTCCGTCTGCTAAACCCCGCCCCTTGGATATTGTTGCTAAGGTCCCACAAAACGACACATGCATATTCCTGGCTCTGTTCTGATTGGTCAGTTGTTAAGTTTGATTGACACCCTCAGGAACGTCTAATTTCAACCCGATTCACAACAGGCAAAATGATGCGTTCTTCTGAGGAAAATGTGGCAAGTGTCTTCTGGTACATTATGACTGTGGGAAGCCATGTCCGTGTAATAACCTAACTTTACAGGAATATTATATGTTTTGAGAATGTGTGTGTGAAAACGATTTTCTTGGCTGTAAATATCTCGGGAAATTAGAGTTGTTACAAATGTTATTTGGTACGAATGTTACATTTTGCCTGTCTGTGAATTGGGTATTAAAGCTATAATTATGTTAAATATTTTTCTTTTTTTCTTATGTTGTTTTGATACAATTATGAAAAGATGCTAATACCTTGGCAATTGAGTTATCTAATTCATTATTTTAAAACAAAATAAATTGTTCTCATTCAGGATTTTTGATAAAGACAAGGATGAAGTCTTCTCCATTTTTTTTTTTTCGATTGTTGGTTTTCTTTTTGATTGTTGGTTTATACAAATTTAGTATGAACATGTGTATATGTGTGTGTGTATGCTTGCATGTATGTGGGGGTGTGTTTGTGTGTGTATGTGTGTACATATGTATGTGTGTATATATATATATATATATATATATATATACACTTCGTCAGTGTGACTTATTTTCTGTTCCTTTTTGCCGTGTTAATGTATGTAAAAATGGATTTATTTCGCGTCTGTCTAGCTTATATAATGATTTTGTTGCCAAATGTCCTGATGTTGATATATTTTCTAATTCTTTATATGTATTTAAATGTCATTTAAATAATTATCTTACGTAATTTTTATGTGTTTAATCGATGTAATATTTAACTCTACAATGTTTTAATAATTTGATGAATTTTAAATATTTTATATTTTTATATTGTACATAGAAATATTTTACTACAATCTTCGCCTGTAAGTGGGACCTTCTTGGTCCTGTTGGACGATTGAATAAATAAATAAATAAAATAAAATAAAATGTATATATATATATATATATTATATATATTATACTGTATATATTATTATTATATATTATTATTATTATTATATATTATTATTATTATTATTATTATTATTATTATTATTATTATTATTATTATTATTATATTATTATTATTATATTATTATTGTTGATACTCAGTATGCATAGATAAATACACCAATCATTTTACAGTTTTATAAGTATTTCTCATTTGCTCTCTGTCACCTTTATTTTTTTTTGATAAGACAGCCTATATTATATTGATTCATGATGTTTTCCTTATTCTCGCTGATGAAGGCCACAGAAGTGGCAGAAATATCTGAATTTATAATAAATCAGTGTTCTTCAGTCTACTACAGAAGTTGTTTCATTATTTTCTATATATATATATATATATATATATATATATATATATATATATATTATTATTATTATTATTATTATTATTATTATTATTATTATTATTATGTATTATTATTTATTTATTATATTATCAATTATTTACTATTGGTGGTCATGTCTTAAAGTTTGTCTACAAACTTATTTTGACCTCCGCACACTTATTTATTATTTATTTATTATACTATCAATTATTTACTATTGGTGGTCATGTCTTAAAGTTTGTTTACAAACTTATTTTGACCTCCGCACACTTCTTTTTTTTTTTTTTGAAATGTAATTTCAATTGTAATATTTATCGTTGATTAATTTACATTTTATGTGTGTATCGTAAAAAAACAATAAAACAAAATAAACACAGTTAGATTTTATTCTCCTGCCAGGCCTAGGATGTTTGCCTTCTGAATATTTTTAAAAAAATGGGTAATGGGGCAAGAATTAATGATCCATCCACACTAATATGTTTTACGTGGCAAATACAGTGTGTTCATAATTATGTCATTCCATATACATGGGCATGATGGTGTCATGTCACACTCCCATATAAGGACATGATGATGTGATATCACACCATATATAGGCAAATCATGTGTATTTGTGGATACATCTTTAGATCATTCTTGGCTTTTTATTGAAAACCTATTAAAAACATTTTGTTTTAACCTTGCAGACGTTGTACACACGGAGTCCCAAAAGACAAAATAGCTTTATTACTACAAAATTATGAGCCTAACATGACAGTCCAAAAAGTTATGGGAACTAAAGATGGAAAAGAAGCTACTGATTTATGTACTCCAACGAACAGTGGTTTAGAAAATGATGTTGAACTTAATGACCATACAAGAACATTAACAGGCAAAAACAAATTAAATATTGGACTTGGCACATGTGATGAAACCGGTTCAAATGATTGTGTCCCGATTGAATTGAGAAATAGCAAGCTCGATGCAAAACAATCGGTGGCACAGAAAGCGCACACGCACTGTGATGAAGCCCTGAAGCACTTTACGAATGTACGCAAACTGGGCAATGTTGTTTCACCCAATATATCCACTGGTAGTAGCACCAGCCTAGAGTCTTCCGTGGACTCTCCCATCTCTGTGGATTTAACACAAACTTTCCAGAAAGATGATCGATGGCAGCTAAGCAATTCTCTGTCGGACAATGACAAATCAGCTGATCGTTCTTTAGCGGAGGTGAAGAGAAAGACAAACTCTGGCTATCGACTGGTAGATGGACAATCTGAATTTAACAAGATGAGGAGTCATGAGTCTCAGGAGACAAGTAGAAAGTCAGGTATTATTAACAAGAGACGTATCCCTTCACTTATTAAAGAGCATAAAATTGAAATAAGTGATGATGATGAGGTTGATACAAAGCTATATGGAGATGTATTCCTTGAGCAACCGAACAAATTCGAAGGAGTGAGTAATTTAACATCAAACTACAGTGATGTCGCTGTAAACATTGATGCAAAGGACTTTGCTTTGTTGCAGAGAATAGAAGCTGGTGTTGAGGATGCCAAAAAACATAAGCATACATGTGTCTTGATTGGCATCAGTTCAAATTTCATTCCAAGTGATGTGCAGACCTCTGAATCTATTCCTTTAGTAGCTATCCTTGACAAGGGATCAATGACATCAGAAATTAAAACTGATGATAATTATAATGATGAAGTAGAGATATTTCTCAGTTGTTTTCCTTCTGTTGCGCAAGAGGACCTGCTTCATGTTCTAAAACAGTGCAAGTATGACACACAATGGGCTAGCGAAATTCTCTTAGATTCAAACATGTGCCAACCCACCAATAGTCCTTCACAGCAAATGTCTTCAGAATCACAGAGCACCGTGCAAGATCCTGCCAAAGAGGTCTCACCAGCTTTGCTTGAGTTCGAGAAATCATCTGCCATCAGTCAGCTGCCTATTACATCCAATGTTGCGCCTGATCTTGTGGCTGTTTCACATCTCTCACAAGACATTGAGGAAGAAACAAAAGATAGCACTGGCCCAGAAAAGACCACAGACCTTGAAATAGACACAACCAAACAGTCAGATGAAGAACTCATTTTGCAATTGGATGCTACATTCGGAAGTCAATTACAGACAATGTTTGGCCATGATGGTTCTTTTGTTGATTTAGGTAAGATTTGTTAATTTGTAACTATTTCCTCAAATTATAACTCATTTGTATTTTTACTAAATTTATAAATTAAAGTGCTTGAAGTAAGATTGCAATGTGGTAGAACTGTGACTTTGTGTGTAAGTGCCTGCTTTCTATTACCAAGGTCCTTTGTTCCTTCTTTGAGAAAAGTCATGGACAACTGTGCCTAAACAATATCTCAAACTTATCAGGCGTTGAAAGACACAATTGAAAAATTACAGAACTTCTTTTTATCTGATATGAAACAGGCAAACACCGTCATACGTAATCTGGTTAAACAGTGTTGATGACAAAAATCTGATGGTGTTACCAACAGTTTAAGAATGACCTTAATGTTTGACTTTATGAAACACTCGCAGTTAAGTCATGCTTTATAAAACCTGCTGAAGCTTCTGGAAACTGTCTAGACTTCAGAAAAATTTGACTTTAGGAAGAACAAAGCTCTGTCCATGCTATAAATTTTGATTTGATAAAATTGTGTGATGTGTCTATATATATATGGGCCTAATGATATACCCAGTCATGGGTATATCACATTAAATTATCACTTAATTGTTACATAAAAAATTGAGAGTGGATAGAGCTTACTGTGTGATTAAGCAATTGTCTGTTTAATGTGACAGACAAAAATTGGGATTTGCATACTGACATAGTTACCTGGATTGAATATGCCTATAATTTGTTTAATGAATTTTACCAATGCAGATCTTGTTTCGCATGAAGATCTTCAAGTGGTAGTTTCTCCTGATCTTGCATCCAGACTCTATGATGCGTGGCAGGACACATTAAAGAAGAAAAACCGATCTGCTAACATTGGAAACTTGAAAGCAGGTATTTATGTGGCTTCCCCCCCCCCATTTTTGTTTATCCATTAAGGATTCTTGATTAAACTTGCTTTTATCATTGCACATACTTCCCCCTGTAAACTGAAGATGTTTTTTTTTTGTTTTTTTTTCAGGTTACTCAAAATTCATTTTAAAATATAATTCCAAAGATAAAGTTAAACAACAAATGTAATATTCTTTCCTGCATTACTATTTTTGATGTATGTTGGTTGGTTTTTTTTTTGTTTTTTTTTAAAGGGGAAGGGGTAAATGTATAGTTTGGGGAGGGAATAAGGGTACTTAGAATATTGTTTCTGCTAATAATTTTTATGTGTTTGTTTTCAAGTATTGGATGGGGGTGGAGTGCTTGTCAATGTTTGAGTGATGGTTACTCAATTTATACTTTATTTTCTTTAATGTTATTGTATTCTGTTTGAAGTATTTTTTTTTTTTTGGACGCACCTTTATCATGTGAAGTGCCACTGTTTTAAAAGTGTAGTTTACCAATAAATTATTATTATTATTATTAATGTAATAAAAGATTTATATATCTCTTTATACCAAAACGGTCTCGAAGATCTCAAGGTGTGGACTACTGTCAGATTGATTTCTATTGTTGTCAAAAGAATTAATAAAGACATTTCCAATTCGCCTTGATTACTTTAGAAGGACCATTTATAATAATATTCATTTTTTACTACCAATAGTAATTTTAATAGGCTAATAATAAATGTAATTACCGTAGTTGGTTGTGGAGGTTGACATCATCATAACATTAACTTATTACCTGTAGTACAGGCCTCCAGGTAAAGACCACATTTGGGACATGGGTTTTCATGGTCTTTAGCAGTTTTGGTCCTTAATTAAAAATATTATTATTATGATCTTCAATTTTGGTGTTCTTTAATTAAGTGTGGTCTTGAATTAGAGTGGTCTTGAATTGAAACCAAGAAATTCTCATGTAGAAAAAGAATTGATAGTGGTTTGGTTTTACTCACTAAATGATAGATGAAGACTTAGCCAAGAAGCTGCAGCAGGAAGAGGATTACCTCCACATGAAAGAGGTTCAAGAACAGAGGTTGTCTTCAATGCCAAAACATCGTCCATGGGTGGCTAGTGGTCACACCTTTGCAAGAGACATATTAATAAATCCAGATGGCAGCGCTTGTTACCAGTCTACGTTGAACCCATCTGATCAAGAGAGTGAAGTAGGGCTAAGGGAGATAATGGATCAAGAATTGAATCTGCAGTTAATTAAAGATCTTGAAGTATGTACAAATAAACTCAAATTGAATTTCAAACAACATTTTTTTTTGTCTTTTAATCTTTGCGGAGAAAGAATATTCAGTTGCAGATAATTGTTCTGTTTAATTTTCTCAAAACTAAATACAAACCTTTGTAACTCTAATAGCATATCTATGGCTAAAATTGTCAATGAATGAATAAAAAAAAGTCAATGTAGTCTTACATTTAACTGCAGTACTTGGTTTTCTTTTAAGCTTTTTTTCAGAATTTTTCCTCAATAAATTGTGTTATTGCAACAAAAAACAATTTCCCAGCTTCTACAATTAATCCAAGTTATTGTTTTTATTTATGTTGATTGATTTATTAACATTTGTCCTTTGACTCGGTTCACAAACTTTTAAATTTTTATTAAGCAGACAATAGCAGTGTCACTACCGATAATACAACTGACAATGATTTGCTTCTCTACTACAGCTTGAATCCTCAACAAATGAGATAACAATTGCTGTGAAAATTAAGCAAGAAATGCTGTTTAAAAGGTTTCCAAGAATTGACGCAGACATTCTTCAGAATATTTTTGCAGCTAATGAGTAAGTGTGTATGACTGGCCTTTTGTTGTGCCTTATTCATTGTCCATTTCCGTAGCTGTCTGTATATACTTTCCTCAACTTATGTTATTTAAATTTACTGGTCACTTTGTTTGGAATTCAATTCATATATCTATTTTTACTTTTTATTTATAGATATCACCTTGGTAACACCTTTCGCAGTGTGGAGTGTTCGCACAATCTGCACCCTAAACCGGTTTACACCGTGCTATCTGATAAAGCCCGAGAAGAACTGGAGAAACGTCTCTTGCGTCAAGCAAATGAAGATGCTCTGAAGTCAGCTTCTGACGTGATTCAACTACAGACAGATTTGGTAATTTTTATTTGTAATTGTTCAGCTTCTTTTGAAGTTTTTTAATCTTGTTGAGGAATTGATTCAACAGTTCTTATACAGACTCTCAAACCTCAGGCTAGGCGAGACTCAGTATTTAGCAAATCCACTGCCCGCCAATAATGATGATTTCGAATAGAAATAAAATGGTATTTTTGGCCAATTAACATCTCGACGAGATTTGATTGACAGATAAACCGATTAATCAGCGAGCGTCATTTAGTCACATGATCAAAAACTTTTTCTCAGACATTTTAATTTCCTTAGACAGCTGGTTTAAACACGAAACATACGTGAGCCTAGGCCTAGATGTCTATGCTTGGTTATAGATACCCAGATTTACATGAACAGTGCGCATCAGTGACTTGGCCTTTGCCGACAACAAGGTTGACTGAATGCGGCTTTTCCCTCTTCCTTTGGGAGCGAAATACATAGGCTTTTACAACAATTTCCCCGCCATGTTCCATGAAATAGATTAACACTATGAATATATGAAACATTGCATACCGCCTACCCTGAATTCTCTTTCTTAAAGAAGGATGATAGCAAAGAAAATGTTCGCCAACTCGGTAAGTCTGCCGCCATTGTCTAAGGTTTTCGTGACTTTGTGGGCGGGGCTTCGCGTCATTTTTGACATGTCAATTAGTGCACCTGCTGCCACTAAAAGAATGGAAATTTCAGAAAAAAAAGTTTTTTTTTTAAATTTTTATTATGCTCACTGCTGCCTTGAAATCTACAAAAATAAGATATGTGTATTTCTTCCTAATTATATAAATTGAAAGCATTTAACTATCTTATTACTACACTGTTTACATTAACCAATAAAATTTTATTTTTATTTTCTCCTCCGTCTCGATGTTTATAGCAAAACTAATTACTAAATAAGAAAACATAATTTTATTTTATTTTCATTCCATGTTTTTGAATGCACAGATGGCTTCCTTACATTTATTGTTTTGGATATACTGGTAGACCAATGCATTTTACATAGCAACTGAGTTACAAAACATTTGACAAACAATTTGCTAAAAATAAATCATTTTCCGGCCGATTTTTAGAAAAAGTGTTTCTACGCTAGAATTCCTTACAAGAAAGAGTGGTTTTTTTTTTATAGTAGCTCACTGTATCTAGCGGCGTAGGGTATTGACATAGGGAGGAAGAGTCTTGCATATAGTGGGCCTGCACCAGCAGGCTCTGGGGCATGTTATTCTGTTAAAAGCACTGCTTTGAAATTTATTTTGGAGTCTGAAAGTACTACTTCCAGGAATCTAGAGTTATCTATGTTAAAAATTTGCTCACCTGAACCCCAACCACTGGTGAGTGGAAATTGTTGTGGCAGGAACATTTCTAGTGGTAGAAGAACCTGGAGTGCAAGTTTTTTTTTTTTATAAAATAAAATGGTGTAGAAAAGAAAATTATATTCAAATTGAAGTCTGAGAGTACCATTTCCAAACATCTAGAGGTGCCATAATAATGGGGCTAAGGTGGTATTTTCCCTCTATCTGTGAAAGTTCTTCCCTGGCCCCTTCAATTTCGAATCCACGGCTATAAAAGAAAATGGGTGTGGCTAAAATAGAAAAAATTGAAGTACACAATTTATGGTCTGAACAAATTGGAACTGCCCCCCCCCCCAGCTAAAAAAGGTTGAATACCTGGGATATATATTCTTTCATGTGTATTTTTGTTTTAACAGACTGAAGAATTAGATTCTGAGTACCCAGATGAAGCTGACTATGTTGATTACCGTGCTGATGCTATTGTAAATAAAAATCTACAAAAGGAATGTTTACAAAAGGCTTCTGAAGCCCACCGGAAAGGTCAAACACAGCTTGCTACTTATTACGCTGGCAAGGTCAGTAAATTCCATGCATCCCCATCTGCAATTGAGCATTACTGTACTTATTGTAGGTCAATCGTGACGTCATTTAAATAGACTTAGAAAGCAATTTGTAATGTTTACTTGGCTATGCTAATTAATATTCTCATTGGCATCGGAGAGCCACTAGACATTGATTTAGTTCTCTTTTTGTCTGGCCAGTTGAGTTAATTTTTTCCTTTTCTCTGTCATTACGTTTTTGTCTGTTTTATTGTTCTTTGAATGGAATGAAATAAAATGAAGTTATTTTTGGTGCTGTTTTTGAAAAAATATGAAGCCTTAATAAGAGTAATCATTTCCCTCAAAAACTTCCACCAGACACTGTGGGTCTTTAGGTATTCTTCCATTTTCTCACAGCGCCCTCAATTGAAATTATTATTTATTGTAAGTTACACTGATGTCTACTATAACAGCTGGATTGCTCATCGGCCAATCCTGGTACAGAAAAAAGTGAGGCCTCCGACGCCATGTGGAGGGCCTAAGTGACGTACCAGTTTAGAAAAGTTTCTTTTGGCATTTGTTGAAACTATAGTTAAAAATAATGATTCTTGCAATACATTTCAATAATAAATTTAAATTTAACGTAGGAATTTTTTTAAAACCATCTAACAACTAGGCGTGACAGTTTATGCAGTTTTCAAAAGCGCGAGCTAAGTCGTATTGTTATAGTGACATCGATCCCTAACAATGCAAATAACTTTGCATGTGCCTTCTTAAACTGCATAAAAAGTCACATCAAGTAGATAGATGATAATAATTATTATGTTAAATTCGAACACAGCGTCGGTGGCCTCACTAAAACCAGTCAATGAGCAATCCAGCTATTATAGTAGAGATCAGTTTTAAGTTAGCAACTCCAACCAAGTTTATTGGCTCGACACAGACATTAAGCCCTGTTCAGACTATCCAATTTTATTTGTATCCCCATGTATAGTCATAATTTGCCTATATATGGTCATACTGTGATGTCATCTTGACAATATTTAGGCATGTTACATTTTTTTTGTCAAATAAATAACAGGGCTTTGAATTTGTAAAGTTATATTATTTCAACACCCACCTACAGTAAAAGAAAAGAAAGAGTTTGTTTAGCTCAGTCGGCTAATCTGGTGGTAGTCACTGTGTGTGCGCTGAACCGTGGAGATCTCTAGGTCCCCGGTTCAATTCCCATCGCTGCCTCTCCTTGTGTTTCAGCTAGAGGGCTGAAATACAAGTTACAATAGCGTACCATCTTTCGGATGAGA